CATCTGTTATAATATCAAGAGCATACTTCCTCTGATTTAGGTAAGTGCCTTCTGTGGATCGTGCAATTTCAATACCAAGAAAGTACTTAGCATAATTCAGATCTTTGATAGTGAAAGCCTTGTGCAAAGATGCCTTAACACGACCAATTTCTAGTTCATCACTACCAGTAATGAGCAAGTCATCGACATAAATCAGAAGAGCAGTGAAGGAAGATGAGGTGCTCATAGTAAACAAGCAGTGATCATGCTGTGACTGGTGAAAACCAAAAGTGATGAGATGCTTAGTTAATTCAGAATTCCATTGGCGGCTAGCTTGTTTCAGACCATAAAGAGATTTTTTTAGCTTGCAAACCTGTATAACCCTCAGGTGGTAACATATATACCTCTTCATCTAATAGACCATGCAAGAATGCATTGTTAATGTCAAGCTGACAAATGGGCCAAACTTTTCCAATAGCAATAGCAATAAACAATCTGATAGTTACTGGTTTGGCCACGGGAGAGAAACTTTCAAAAAAATCAATACCAGGAATTTGATTAAAACCCTTTGCAACTAATCGCGCTTTACATCTATCTAGAGTGCCATCAGCCTTTAATTTTGCTTTAAAAACCCATTTGCAACCTATAGGCTTCTTTCCAGAAGGCAGAGAGGTTAACTCCCAAGTCTCATTTTTTTCCAAAGCATCAAGTTCAGCTCTCATAGCTTCAGACCATTCCTTCTGTGAGCTTGCATCCCTGTATGAAGTAGGTTCTTGGATAGTGGTAATGTTAGCCAGGTAGTCAACATATGTGGGGTGAAAACAAGGTGAAGTATAGTATGGAAAGGTGTTAGGGGTGAAGGTGGAAGAGGCAGTGTTGGAATTAATGGAGGCAGAAGTAGGAATTTCAGATGTTTGGGTGAGATTGGACACAAAATCTTGCATCCATATAGGTGGAATTTTTTGTCTGGTGCTCCTCCTGATGCAAGGTTGAATAGGACCAGAATCACTCGCAGGTAACATGTCTGTAGAAAATGAGGAACCATCATTGTGATTATCAGCAGCAGGGGGCAGACTAACAGGAAAAACAGAGGCTTCAGCAGGAATAGGATCATCTTGATGTTGTTCAAACATTGGAATAGGGAGAGGTAAATTCTGATCTGAATTGGAATTGACTTTATAGGGAAAGACATTCTCATGAAAGACAACGTCTCGAGAAACCAGAATTTGTCGTCTTTTAAGGTCATAAACCTTGAATCCTTTGGTACCATGACTATAACCCACCATAACACACCTAAAACTTCTAGGAGAGAACTTATCCTTGAAAGGTTGAGAGTTAGTAGCATAACAAAGGCACCCAAAAACTTTGAGATTTTGATAGGAAGGTAGTTTGTTATGGAGGATCTGAAACGGTGTTTTCCAGTTAAGAATTGGAGTAGGTAAACGATTTATAATGTATGTGGCCATCAGAATAGATTCCCCCCAAAAGAATTTAGGCAAGTTTGCTTGAAACATGAGAGCTCTCGCAATTTGTAATAAGTGTCTGTGCTTCCTCTCTACAACACCATTCTGTTGAGGTGTATAAACACAAGTCGTTTGATGTATTATACCATTATCAACAAGGAATTTTCTAAAATCAGAATTAACAAACTCTGTGCCATTATCAGATCGAACAGATTTAATATCAATGTGGAATTGATTTCGAAGAAATTGGTGAAAGGCTTTGAAAGTCTGTAAAACCTGAGTCTTATGTTTGAGAAGAAATGTCCAAGTGGCTCTACTTAGGTCATCAACAATGGTTAAAAAATAATGTGCCCTGGAAATGGAAGCTTGCTTGTAGGGTCCCCATAGATCTATGTGAATCAGTTCCCCTACCAGTGTGGTTTGAATCGAACTGGTTGGAAAAGGTAACCTTGTTTGTTTGGAAATGGCACAAATATCACAATATGGAGGACAATCATCATTACAAGCACTCAAGATATCTAAATGTTTCATAGCTTTAGTAGAAACGTGGCCAAATCTCTTGTGCCAAAGATTCAAGGATCTGTCAATAACAAGGTTTGATGATACAGGCAGATTATTACATTGAGAAGAAACAGAATTACAAATGGAAACTTTGAATTTATTTAGAATTGATGGAGAAAAAGAGGCTTGATCTAGGATATAGAGATTCCTGAAAAGTCTACCAACTGCTTTGATTTCATCAGTCCGATGGTCCTGTAAAATGCAATGGTTATCATAAAAAATGAGTTTCAATCTCGAATGTTTTGTCAGCTTGCTGACAGATAATAAATTGAACTTGAAGGTAGGAATATGTAAAACATCTTTTAAGACAATAGTAGGATGGATAATGATGTCTCCAGTGTGTTGAACAAAATTGATGGATGCATCAGGAAGATAAACTGGAATAGCAGATATGTATTGTTCAGGTGTTTTAAACAGATTAAAATTGCTACACATATGATTAGATGCTCCAGTATCCAATATCCAAGAACCTATTTCTAAAAGGTTTGAAGCATTTAAAGTCAAAATGGTTTCAGGTTTGAGAACAGAACATGCGAAGTCACCAAAATGAGCAAAATTAACCGTGTCATCTCTGCTGTTTCTTTTCATCATCTTCACCAGTTCATGCTGTATCATCTCTGAAAGATTATGGTTCTGCAACTTATCCTTCATTTCCTGATTGGTTCCCAGTGGAGTATCAGCCATGTTTGAAAATCGCATAGGTCCAGATCTATGTTGATTTTTAGCAGATATGCATTGTTCAGGTGTTTTAAACAAATTAAAATTGCTACACATATGATTAGATGCTCCAGTATCCAATATCCAAGAACCGATTTCTAAAAGGTTTGAAGCATTTAAAGTTAGAATGGTTTCAGGTTTGAGAACAGAACCTGCGAAGTCACCAAAATGAGCAAAATTAACCGTGTCATCTCTGCTGTTTCCTTTCATCATCTTCACCAGTTCATGCTGTATCATCTCTGAAAGATTGCAGTTCTGCAACTTATCCTTCATTTCCTGATTGGTTCCAAGTGGAGTATCAGCCATGTTTGAAAATCTCATAGGTCCAGATCTATGTTGATTTTTTAATTGTTTGAACCAATCTGGATATCCTATGAGTTTGAAACAACCATCCTTGTTATGACCATTAATTTTGCAGTGAGTACAATATAATAATTGTCTCTCCCTCTTTACCATATCATAATTTTTTCCTCCTATAGGTCTAGCTGCCTGATCTTTCTTCAGATTGTTTGTTCTAGAAAACATAGCACTCATTTCAGTCTCATTACCAAAGGCTATGTGTACCTCTTTCTGTTTTTCAATCCTTTGAATCATAGAATAATCCTTGTTAACAGCAGGTAAAGGTTCCATAACTAAAATTTGACTTCGAATTTGTTCATATTCTTCACTTAATCCCATGAGAAATTGCATCAATCTGTTAAATGAAGTTATATCTGACACTGTCTTGGCTGAGCCACAGGTCCATTCAGGCAGAGGCATGAGATATGTTAATTCATCCCATAGACCTTTCAATTTAGTGTAGTATTGAGATACTGATTGACTACCTTGTGTTATTGAGCAGATTTCCCTTTGTATCTGGTATAGTTGTGGACCATTACAACCTCCGAATCTCTCTTCTAACTCATTCCATAGCTCTTTAGCAGAGGTAGTGTATAAAAAAGCTTCAACTATGTCTTTTGAAATAGAATTTAAAATCCATGAAGTTATCATGCAATTGACTCTGTTCCATTTCACAAATTGAGGTGAATTCTTAGCTGGAGTTTCAATGGTGCCATCGATGAACCCTAGCTTCATTTTTGCACCAAGTGCAATTTTAATCGACCTACTCCAAGCCAGAAAATTCTTCCCAGTAAGAGGCACTGTAACAAGCGACATCCCTGGGTGATCAGAGTTACCTAACTGAAGTGGATCTCCTTCATCGGCTTCGCGACGACCTCCATTTCGTTGATCTCCATTTATTTCTGAATTATTTCCTTCTTCGAATTCATCAGCCATTTGAACTGTAGTAGTTCAAATCACTAATAATCAAAAAGCATTAGATCCAATCTCCAAGATCTTTTAGCTCTGATACCATGAAGAAATCGAAATTCGAAGAATTGAGATTTCAATTTTATTCCAAAACCTTAGCTGAAAATTAGCTCTACATCCAAGATATATACACGGCTGAAGAAACAAACATAACCGAAAGAGAAAGGTCATATCCCATCTAAGTCCTAAACTATGAAACAGATACAAGTAAGGACAGATAGAATAATTGCAACAAAGGTCCTGAAGAATATAACACGTGAACATTGAGTACATAAATTTCAATATTATATCTTAAGCCTCTCACCGTGAGAGGCGTGCACCTCTAATTGTTTTTGGTGTTGTCAACTGGGGATCCACTATTTATTGAAAATCTACCTATTTTAAGACTTTGATATACGGGCCCTGAGGCTAGTTTTCAGACCTTACCTTGAGGCGTGCCTCACAATCACCTTTTCAAACCAAGATCTTTGTTGAATCTTGATGTGTAAATTATAGGGTTGTTAGCTGACAATTGGTACTTAATTCGACGCTGAGCTTTTTACAAATATATAATTTTTTTTTTATTTTTGAAATTGCAGTTATGGTATTTTGTGTATAGCTTGGGTAAGCAAAAATAAATAAGTTTTGCAGCGTGGTGCAAGGAATGTTTCTATGAAGTAATCAAAATATTTATGAGTTTTGGAGAATCTGATATACTTATACCATCTCTTTAACGTTGTACTTCTATTTATTATTTTGTCAATTATTATTTGATGAATATAAGGGTGTGTTTGAGCTACATTATTTTGGAAGAATGTATTTTGGAATGGTAGATTAGTAGAAAATGTGTGGTTGAAAAATAAGGAAAGGTTATTGATGTAATGGAAAATATTATTTTATTGAAGAATGTGTGGTTGAAAATGAGTAGAATAATGAAAATGAAAATTTTAATTTATACCAAACAGGGGCTAGATATTATATTTAGGAGAAATTTACAAAATGCACCCTTCATTTATGGTGTAATTACAATTTACATTTTTTTTTTTTAATAGAATTATACAAAAAATTCTTTGACTTACTTCTGTTATTCCACATGAAAAGATTTATAGAAGGACCAAAATACCCAGGCATATTAATATACAGTACTTGTTTCCTTCTTGAAATAATCTTCAGAAACCTATAATCAATTCTGTGCTTCTTTTCATTTCAGCTCATATGAATATATTCTTTCTTCTCTTTGATTCTTTCACCAATTCTTCCTCCTTCACACAAATCTGTGTATCTCTATTGCTAGTGATAAATAGTTGTTCACTTCCACAGAAATGCATCTCGAATGCCCTAAAATCTGTTGTAGAATCCACATACTACATTTCTTTGCCGTTTCCTCTTTATTAGTTCAGATGTATCTGTACATCAATACGGTTACCAGAGCCAACGAATCAAAATTTTGAATTTTAAGCCCCTGTTTGAGCCCCCAATTTTTTGAGAATATTTTGTAAAAAGTGACTTTTTTTTTGTGGTTAAAAAATGCTCTAACAGGGTCTGAATAACAATTTCCCCAAATATGTTCTCAAGCTTAATGATCAGTGTTTTTTTTTTCCTTTCTTTAGTGTTCAAGTCTCTTATAAAGAGTAAAATTTCAAAACTTTAATTGAAGATCTAAATGTTCTACGCCTTTATGAACTTCAGTAAATGTTAATTCTCAATAATAGCTAGATTATCATATGAGTTAGTAAAAAAGCACACAAGTGGCAGAGAAGAGGCTAATTTATTTATTTTTTCCTTTTTTCTGGGTTTAATGTTTGATATTTTGTTTACTGCAAAGTAGTTTAATCTGGTTACCACTAATTATGATGATTTTTTTTCCCCCAGTTTTTGAAGCAAAATGAGAAAATTTGTTTTTTATTTGTAATTTTGCAATTAGGGGTACACTGGTCTTTCTGAGTCATTAATAATGGCAAATATGTAAAAAAAAAAAAATTTTTTAATTGATATTTAATAATAATATGTTTATAGTTACCATTTCTAAAAAATGAGTATGTCTTTTGTAATTTCTGGAAACACAGTATGTGTTTGTAAATACATTGCAAAATTTCCTTATATTTAATTTGATTGTCTTGCAGCAGTTTTGAGAAATTTGTGATTTTTCTGTTTTTCTTGGAGCATCTCTGTCCTGCAACAAGGAATAAAACCATTTTACCATTTGCTGCAAGTAAATTTTTGGTATATAGTCTCATCGATGGCATTTTCTAGACTCCAGGGTGCTTGATTGTAAGCTTAAATTTGATTCTGCATAGGAGATCAGGGTTTATGGTGCTTGAACAAGAAAGAAAAGTTGTTTATCTTTAACTGTAATACTTGTATTCTCTATTCATATATTGAATGCTTCAGCGTCCAATTATTCAATTCATGCTTCCAATTTATGTACCTGAATACAGGGGATATAAGCGCTTTTTCAGGCGAGGTCTGCTTGAAACTTCAGATTATCTAAAAGATGATTGCTTGAAGATCAACTGTACTGTTGGAGTTGTAGTTTCTGCTATCGATTGTTCGAGGTTACATTCAATTCAAGTCCCTGATTCTGATATTGGACCACATTTCGGTATGCTGCTGGAAAATATGGAGGGTTCTGATATTATTTTTAATGTGTGTGGTGAGAAATTTCATGCCCACAAGTTAGTATTGGCTGCCCGATCCCCCATACTTCGATCTGAATTTTTTGATGAATTAGATGAGGATAAGCAAGAGATTACTGTTTCAGATATGGAGCCTAAGGTTTTTAAGGTGAGTGGTTTTCATATTTTTGTTCTACTTCTATTTTACAAAAATTAGACTTCTCTCTCTTACATTGGCCTTTTCCTTTGATTAATTTTTATTATTAGCTATTTTATCAAATTTATAAAATTGAAAATCTTGTTCAATTTTATAGACGGAATATTATGCTAAAGTCACTTGATGTATGACAGGCTATGCTGCACTTTGTATACAGAGATGCCCTTGTGGAAGACGAGCTGACAGCATCTAGCTCTTCTGCTCCCATGGTATCTGACACGTTAACAGCAAAGTTGCTGGCTGCAGCCCATCGTTATGATCTGGGAAGACTTAGACGCATGTGTGAATCTCATCTCTGCAAGGATATATCCGTAAATTCTGTTGCACAGATACTTTCTTTGGCAGACCGTTTTCGTGCTGAAGAACTAAAAGCTGTTTGCCTTAGATTTGCTGCTGAAAACCTGGCTGGTATGAGATCGACCAGTTTTGTGGTGTTTACTTTTATTCCGTTAACAGCTTTCTGCTAAAAGACTAGTGCTTATCTTGTTTTGTCAATAAATATATATTATGCAGTTATAATCATCTCTCTTCCATATTACAATTTCTAGTATGATAATTTACCCCTAGTGAGATTGTTTTCGTGATATCATATTCTCTGGCTGATATCAGTTTTTCCAGTCATTCACAATATTTGACAATTTGTGGCATTCACTTCTATTTTATAGTTTAACAGCTTTCTGCGAAAAGACTTTCGCCTATCTTGTTTTATCAATAAATATATATTTGGCAGTAATAATAATCTTTCTTCCATATTAAAATTTTTAGAGTAGCACTATCTATTCCTCGTAAGAATGCTGTTGCAATGTATACTGCTGATATCAGTTTTCTTCCAGTCACTGAGTGTTTCATGGCAAAAGGTTGGGATTGAAAATTTTCCTTGTTAATGTGGCCTCAGAAGCTTGTTTATACATTTTGTGTCAAGAAATTAGAGCTGTCCACCAGTTGTGAACAGTACACAGCTTTTTCTAGCTTTATAAGAATGAAAATGAGCATTTATTTATTTAGAGAGAGAGAGAGAGAGCTTTTTGTTCTTTTTTTATGACAATTAAAACGAGCATTTATTTAATAAGGGTTACACATATTTATTCGTCTTCTATATAGATAAAATGCTCATAGAGAGACTGAGAGATGAAGCATTTTGCACCAACCGTATTTTTGCTTTATGAATGAAAATGAGCATTTATTTAACAAGGGTTACACATCTATTCGTCTTGTATATATTAACCTTCTTTACTAGTTAGAAGTTTACATATGTGCAATGTTGTAGAACATATTTGACCGTGGTTATCATCTTCATGAATTGTTATTATTTAGAATGAAGCTAAGCTACTTTAAAAACAGGTATACTTATTGCTAAAATGTAGAAATTTGTGAGATCATAATTGAGATCCCCAATGCCATTAAATTTCGCCTCTTTTTAGTTTTGCTAAAATCAGAATTTTTTTGATAGATTTTGATGAAAGTTGATGACATGTGTAGTTGAAAAGTTGGTAAAAGTTGTGGGTCCCATTAAATGTGTGGTTAAAATTAGTTGTTGATTTTGACATAGATTTTTATCGACTTTTTTAGCTAAACCGAACACAGCTGATTTTTATCAACTTTGAAGAGTTCTTTCTCCTACTTTTATTTGACTACTCTCTATATTGTTCATTTTACTTTGTTCATAGGTCTCTTTCTATTTTTATTGCAGCTGTTATGCGTTCGGATGGCTTTGAATATCTTAAAGAAAATTGCCCTGCCTTGCAATCAGAGATATTGAAGACTGTGGCTGGCTGTGATGAGGATTGCAGCAGTGGTGGTGGCAAGTCTCGAAGTGTATGGGCTCAGCTTTCTGACGGTGGCGATACAAATGGAAGGAGGGTAAGACAGCGGACTTGATTTTGGTTTTAGGACACCATGTAAAATGAAAATTGCGTCTTCATAACCTGCAACAATATGTAACAGAAAGGAAAATGTTTCTTAGTTCTAAAATTCCATTGCTGATAGCAGTAAATTGAAAAAAGTATCATATATTAGGTTTGTTACTGTGATTTGAGGTTAAAATGTGTTCTAGTGGAGTGAAATATATCGGGATTTGATTCCAGGTAACATTGTATGTGCCTCGTGACAATTTCTGCTATCGGGTTCTGTAACTGTCATTTTAATGAAGGATAATTTTTCTGTTGTATATTTTTCTGTCATTTTAACTGTCATTTCGATATGTAACAGTGTGTAACTGCTATGAGGTGCGATATCCGAATTATCCATTACCTTACATGTTACCTTAACCTTATACTGAGCCAACATCATTGTGTTTCTATTTCTGATACAATCTTTCAGGTGCAGTAACTGATTTCCTTTGCTTCAATTTGGCATTTTCATTTACTTACTGTTGTTTTGATGATTGCTAACGATGCCAGACCTCCTAAAGGTGTATAAAGCCGTCCAGTTTTGATATGGCTTGACACACCTAAATTTATTGGGTAGGGCCTGATACAGTTGGGCTGTCGAAGCAGGTGGACCATGGCACACGACAGATCATGGACTAGACCAGAGTTGGGCTGTGTTTTTCATGTGCCCAGCCACCTAGACATGCATTTCATTTGGATGGGTAGGTAGATTTTGACGCTTCTAAGATTACTATTATATAGCTAAAAATATATCGGCTAAAGTGAATGTGGATGTTCTTATATCGTACATATAAATATAATACATATGAACTTAGACTTTGAGACTCGACTTGTTATCAAATAAAATGTGAACTTTTCAATTACATAACATTTGAAAGACTGTGTTGCATGCTAAGAGAGATGACGAAGATGGAGGTGAGTTGAGGGGGTGAGGAGATTGAGGGAATTTGGAGGCCACCAGAAGCTTTGTAGCTCAAGCCGAATGATGATGCCGGTGGGAGGCAGGGGAGCGGTCATAAGAGATCATGAGGGGAGTGGTGATAGCAACATCGTGGTGGCTGGTGGTGTGCTCCTTTGCCGATTCTGAATGTCTAGCGTTCTGGGAGGGCTTGCAGTTTACTCAACGTAATAGTCTGCATCTACAATCTATTAAAGTGTGATTCTCTTGTCACAGTGAAGCAATCGTACTTTCAGTTTGCGATAAACGGGGTGCTTCTTAAGGTTAATTCAAAGCTTCTTAAGGAGGTCGTCAATGGCTCTTGCAACTTTGTTCACCGTATGAGCTGATATCTTAAAACATCTTCAATAGACTCTCTGTTTATAAAGAGAATTTTATATATAATAAATAATATATTTAATTTAGAGTAAATGTTTTTATACACTCAAACTGTGATATCTGATTTTGCCCTTATATTCCACTTTTTTCAATAAATATTTATTATTTTCCCCTAATCTTTTATTTAACATTTGTTATGGCAATGGATAATCAATTCAAATGTGGTTTAAATAATTTGAGAAATAAAGATTGAAATCTATAACTCAATAAATACAATTGTTATAAAGTAATATTAGAAAGTGAATTTGAATATTCAAATTCAGAGAGCAAATCCATTCTCTAGTTTAAAAGGTCGGGTTCATTTTTTTTGCATCGAAAATATAGAGCATCTTGTATTTAGAGTCTTTTGAAGATCCTTTTATGTTTTAGTGCATAATGTTTTTTTATTTTGGATAGATTGTTTGTCACATATTGAACGATATTAATCAGCAATAATGTAATTGTTTTATGAAAAAAAATTTATATCTACCAATAAGGTGACATTATTGATCAGCGATGAAATAGTAAGTCTGCAAAAACTTGTTAAAAATTTTATAATGGCTACCAATTATTGCTATTTGTGTCAATTTTGCTTATACTTTCGCGAACCAATGCATGTCCAGATTCTAATGTGGGCCAGATCTAACAACATTCTGGGCTCTTAAAGACTTCAAGACAAGACCAAAACCAGACAAAGCGAAAACCAAGATATTTTGTTATCCTCAAATTTTTATGATAAATGTGTGCCACGTACCCTTACCACATGTGCTCAATTCTCATTCTACCTTTCTTTTCTATGATCATAATTCACAATGGCCATCTATCACTGTTGTTGATAGATGTACACATTTAATACTAACAATCTTTTCTGTAAACTGTCACAAAATTGTGGACAAAAATCAAGAAAATGGAAATAACCACACAATCTCTTTCTTATGCCAAGGCTAAGGCTAATTCTCCATCTCCAGCCTTTTTTCCAGCTAAATCAACTGTTTTTGCTCGTTCTTCTGTCAGTTTTCTGGGCTATAATTGCCTGCCCAGAAACCTACAGTGTAGTGCAAGACAGTTGAGGAACTTTGGAGCTATAAGTGCTTCTGATTCTGAAACCAATCCTACAAATAATTCGGTTAGATGGCTTCTTGAACCTGTAGGTCTGTCATCTAATCTTCTTCTTCTTATATGTGTGTGTATGTGTGTGAAATTAAAGAGTGAAAGATGAGCATAGTTTAGAGAATGTGGATAAACTGAAAGTAATTGCTATTCATTTGATTATAAAAGGAATGGTGGAACTTGATGGCTCTAATTGTGTCCTAATCCTACATCTGAAAAGTTTTGGTTTGACTTGTGGGTTTATAACCACTTGGGCACCTTCTTTACAGGTCGATTTTAAGGTAAGTAACACCGATGTAGTATAAGAATGGATTAAATCTTGGTTGGGTTTTATTGAGTTGAGGGTTTGCTCCTTTTCAATTTCAACTTACTTTTACCATTCTCACACAGTTAATCCATATCTTGATTGAAATATTTCTTTAGTCCACGCGCATTCTACTGGCTAGACGATGGCCTTGTCCGATTTTTCGTTCGCTTAGTCTAGTTCCTGTATATGAAAACTTAATCATGAATATGGCCCCTGCTCAGGTGATGGTGATTCAAGACACATAGGCTATAAGACTGCATTGCCTGATGCATTTGAAATAGCTTCCGTAAGTATTTCGAATTTCAGGTTTTAGTGTTTTTTATGATGCAAGACTGTATTGACTGCAAAATTTTGACGTGATTTAGAATGTAGTCACCGTTGGACGCGTTGCAGGGAAAGCAGATATTGTGATTCCTGTTCCTACAGGTATCCAATTTTACATGATTCATACTGTCTCTACTTTTGGTTTTAGCATTGGTCGAGTTCTTGAACCTCACTACTAGTATTTGTTTTTGGGTCTTTCTCTCTCTCTTTTACTTGGTTTTTGAACAATGGGTTCGTTTTGATAATGAACTAATTGGCATGGGGATAAGCGTGATTCAGGGAATTTTCTTAACCCCTGCGGCAAAATAATGCAAGTCTGTTCTGGAGTTGGCAAACTCAAAACCAAAGCATTCTCATGAGGTTTCTTGCTCTGTACTTATTCATGTCAAGTCGGTAAACAACCCTTGTTGAATTTAATCCACTGAAATGTTTTCTGTTTATAGACTTGCCAACGTTCTTTAGAAAACGAAGTGAGAAAGTGTATCCATTGTTTTCTTCAAATACAGAACCGAGGGAGGAGGTTATGCCTGAGACTGGAATTTCAAAATGCTGAAAATTAGCCAAGAAAATTTGTAATTCTTCTTCTTTATACACGGTGAATTGTCTTTGATTCCCATGGATGTAGGTTAATTTAGCCGAACCAAGTAAAATTGCTGTGTCTCTTATCATGATTGCTTATAATAAATAATCTGTCAAGAGAAGAACTCTGATTAACAAAGCATTTCGATGAAAGAAAAAGATACTAATCGTGACCAGTTAACTTCTTCAAATTGATACAGTTTCTGGTGTGCATGCCCGGATTCAGAAGACAGAAGAGAGTCTTTTGATCACAGATCTGGACAGCACAAATGGTACATTTATTGATGCAACACGACTTCAACCTGGAGTTGTTGCTGCTGCATCTCCTGGAAATCTCATTACATTTGGTATGAACTCACTAGACTTTTTGAGTTTATCCCATATCGACTAGAAGTCTATGCCTGTGTTTTCTTGTATCTCCTTATAGGGGTCGAACCTAAAGTGTTAGCCTCGCTGCTACTACGATTAGTATTGTTGGTTTGTTTACTTGCTCAAGTTGTTATTTTGATTATCAGGGGACACCAATTTAGCGGTATTCAAAGTGTCAAAGCTTGAAGTTGAACCAGAGAAGACTTCTGAAAGTAAATCGGAGGACGAGCCAAGCAGCATCTCAGAGTCGACAAGCTGATGTTGTATGTTTTTTTATCTCTGAAAACGAAGAATTTGAGAAAATAAGTTTCGAGCAATGCTCATACCATCTTTAACATCTGTGTTCATCAGTCGAGTTGTAACAGTTTTTGCATATTTTGTCGAACATCAAATTACAGAAACCTTTATCGGAATTCCACTCTTCATATTGTGACCTACTTTCCAGTGCTATGTAATGTTGCTTTGTGATTCATCTGAGTTCACAATAAGTTTTGCTAACTAAAGGCAGTTTCTTTGCTTCTGGATGGATAAACTTGGTGTCGACTGTATGAATCCTTTTTAACGACTTTAGTTTAGTTCTGCTTGAAAAATTGATAAAAATCCAAGTTGAAATCAAAATTAGTTTTAACCACACGTATCACGGAATCACAATTTTTATCATTTTTTTAACCACACGTTTCTTGTGATTCACAACTTCTATGAAAATTTACGAAAAAGCTGATTTTTAACAAAATCAAATTGGCACCAAGTGAAATATTGTACTTTTTTTTTTTTTTATTTTAAGGGTTCTAATTTTTACTATTTAAACTAATGTTAAGACTACGTTGTCTTTGGGTTGTTATTGAATAAAAAATTATAGACTTGGGAGTTCTTCAAATTCTTTTTCGATCCAATATCTCGGTATTCAATTTTAAGAACATCTTATGGGTAAATAAACTATGATTTTATTTAATATGAATAAAAGCTTTTCGTTTATTCAAAATATTGTACATATCACTTTAACAAACTTTATCCCGATTCATAAAGCATTCCTTTACAAGACTATCTAAGCAGCACCGCCGCCGCCGTCATGCCCATGATGCCCATGGCCATGGCCATGGCCATGCCCATGGCCATGCCCACCGTCATGGCCACCGTCACAGTCACCGCCACCGTCACCGCCACCGCCATGGCCTACTGCTGGAAATCCTCCATATCCAAACAATCCACCTCCCTTCTTATGCTTATGATTAGGGGAACCAGTGCCACGCGCACAAGAAAAAACAAACATGGACATAATCGACAAAGACATAACAATCATACCAAGCATTAACAAGAACTCAATAAGGTCTCCTTCACTAGCAGCACTGCCATCATTTGCAACAGGAAAATACCGAGCCATGTTGATCTAACAATTTTGGGAGGATTGGACACTGGTATAACATGGATATATAGCTGGATGTATAGAACCATGGGGTCATCTACAATAATTCACTTGTATGACCCACAACATTATTTGTGGCTATTAATTCCCCTCAACCAACTTGGAAAAATTTATAGAAAATACTAGTATTTTAAAGGGAAACTTCTATAAGTGGTACTGGTACCCAATGTGATGGTAACATGTTACTCTCATTTATTCATGCGAGTGGGGGACACAATTTATCTGTAAAATTTTAGTATTTCATGTTATCATTATCAATCATGTTAATTTGTCTCGTCTAATTTCTAACACCTGTTTTGTCTCATTTAAGCATACCAATCAAGGTCGAAAGCTTGATTAGCTAACACATAACCATAATACAATTCAATTAATTTAATAATATCTTATTTTTCATTTTACAATATGTATTTAATTTACAAAATGTAATAGATGCTATAATTAATTCTAAATTAATTAATATTCACATTCATTTAATTAAATATTAATTAGAATTTCACATTCATATTCACGTCCATTCCCTTGTTATTAATTAAAATTTCAAATTCAATGATGCAGCTTATTATTCACGTCTATGTATGCTAATTAGCATCCGTTTCACTTAATTAGAAATTAAATTAAATTATATTCATTTAATATAAATGATTTAATATTCATTGTGAGGTATATATTCATTTGTATTAATTCTAAATTAATTAACGTTCAAATTAATTCATGTATCGTATTTGCCATTCATCTTCATTTCATTGTTTTGTTGTTTATGTAGATTGCTCGGTTATGTGAAAGGGCAGGTGGTGTGCATTGAAAGTCAAATAGTTTTTATTGTAGCTCTAATTTGTGAAGACGAAATTCATGAGACAGCTCGAATATTCCACTTTATAGGTTAACATTTTGGGATGAAACTTCAATTTTATTATAGTACTAGAGTTAGACCTCAAACTCGGCCATGCAACTCACAAAGATAGATTCTCAATTGCAGCCAAACGAAGGTGGTGGGTACTAAGTATAGGCAGAATAATCTAAAGTTGGCTCGTAAAGCCATTGTAACCATGTAAAGAAGAGGCCCAAATGCTTGTAACACTTCCAAGTTCGAGGGAGAGATGGATAGACTATCCTTGAAAGAAGTCGAGTTGACATGGTACTCCGTTTGAAGAGAGACTTGTTGGGATAGTATGAACAAAGTCCCACATCAACACCTGGAGTAGTTGATGGGCTTACAAGATAATCAACCACTTCACCTGATATGTTAACCTTTTAAGATGAAACTTTTAATTCCCTTATAGAAACTCCATCGTTGGAGTATTTTAGTTTAAATTCGATTTTGGAATTTTCATTCACACTATTATTTTCCTTTTCTTATTCAGAGTCCAAAGACCTCAGTTTCCAACCCAAAAATAATCATTCATTCTCAACTATAGGGGCGCAAAATGAGGTCGCGGACACTTCTAGTCACGCAATCTAATTTCATCCGCTTTCTTAGTAATTAAGTGGCAAGTAGCCAAACAGAGATCACAGAACTCATTTATGATGAATGCAAACTTCCTTACAAGGAATGCTGTTACTCCTCCTGGTGGAAGTCCAACCAAAATCCCGCTATAGGATAAAGAGAGAGAATCTAGTCCTCGAACTTTGGATCCCTTACAATTTAGCCATTTCTCCAAATTTGTCAACTTTTGCTTATTTTCTTCGATCTCACCAACTTACATCACAACATCAAAATCACACATCTAATTATTTAACAATTACATAAACATTACATTATTAATTATTTAATTAACCAAAAAAAGTACATTTTTATTAATACACAAATTAATTATTAAACAAAACTATTAAATATAAACTAGGCAAACGTGCATTGCACATTGCTTGCACCTAGTATATAACAAATGTATAGATATTCTATAACAAGATTGTAATTACTAAAAAGGGAACCCTTAACTTTGAGAGGTTGCTCAATTGATCAGGCATTGAGTTTGCTCCCTAATGGTCACCAGTTCGAATCCCTACAGGGTCACTGAGGTGAGTATCCGATCGTAAATTTTAGGATTCCCGTGGGATTAGTCGATGCGAGTAAGATGGTCCGGACATCCATGGTTATCAAAAAAAAAAATTACTAAAAAAGGGGAAAATATGTAATTTAAAATTTTTATTTTGTCACAAAAATAATAATAATAATAAATTAATAAACAATATAATTTTCATAATTAATATAATTGAAAAGTTAATTTTCATCACGAAATATGACATAAGTCGTGACATGTAACAAAAGAAATCAAATATTGTAGCTTTGAATTTCTAAAAAAACAGAGGGAGCCAAAGAAATTATCAAAAAGAGTGGGTGCGTAGTGCAATTTACCTATGAAATAGATTGTGCAAACCCGACCCGCCACAAGAATCGGATACCCCGTTTTTTGCTTCTTCTTCCAATTCCGGACTCCACAAAAAAAGAGAAAATTGTTGAAGAATCTCTATCATAAATTGTTTTTTTCCCCCCTCAAATCAGTGTCCCTGATAGCAAGAAATCGCAGCTTCATTTATGAGGTATTGAAATTCATTCTTACACAATAACTCGAGGTTTATTAGATTTTCTTTTAGTTTTTTTTTTTATTGATTTTAGGAACTTTTATTGTTTTTCCTTTTGACTCCTCTCAGAATTCCACAGAAAATAAGTGTTGTTTTCATATATCTCAGTTTGTCCACAATTGCTATTTTCTTTTCCTTTTTTAATGAATGATTATTGTTTCCTTTGTATTTTTCATCAACTAGGTTTTGACATTTGGGCTAAATTTCTGCTTTTGTAGGGTTTGGTTGACTTGGGGAATTTTGTTAATGTTTTTGGGATTTTCTATAATTTTTCTTTGAGCTTTCAGATTAATTACTGGATATTGTACAGAAATTTTATCACATCCAGTGGGTTTTGTGTTTTGAAGGGTTGAATTTTTCATCTAGATAGACAAGTAATTTTATGGCATTTGAATGCCAGCAGTCTGTAAGAATTGGCTCGAAGAACACCTCAATAGATTGCTTAGATAATCCTCGCATAGAAGAAGTTGACAAGCCTCAAGTCATATTGATTAACAATATAAAATCTCTTACTTTTGAGTCTGAAAATCCAAAATCCATATCGAAATTAAATGCCAAAATAGCCCTTTCTGGCAATGAAAGTTTACTCAATAATAGTCAGTCCATCACTGACCTTCCCCTGGCATTGATATCTGAAATCCTCAACTGTCTCGATCCAAAAGAGCTGGGCATTTTGTCCTGTGTCAACACTTATTTGTATAGGCTTGCATCGGAACACCATGTTTGGAAAGAATTTTACTGTGAGAGGTGGGGCCATCCAATAACACCAGTCAACTTTGGGCCAGGGAATTCGGATGAGAAGTCATGGAAGGAGCTGTTTGTGGAGAGGGAGTTCCATAGCAATACTTTTATGGGACGTTTTAGTATTGATACTCTGTATGGCCATACTGAAGCAATTAGGGCAGTTTTTATGTTGGCTTCTAAGAAGATTGTTTTTACTTCGGGTTATGATCAGATTGTGAGAATGTGGGACATGGAGGAAGGGTTGTTGATCGCATCATCCAGGCCTCTTGGGTGTACTATTCGTGCATTGGCGGCCGATACAAGGCTTTTGGTTGCTGGGGGTACAGATGGGTTCATACATGGTTGGAAGGCAGAGGATGGGAATGCTCACTTATTTGACCTCTGTGTACCTCAAAATCAGAATATGGAATTTCGAGTTTGGGAACATGAAGGCCCCATAACTTGTCTTGCATTGGATTTTGGTAAGATTTATAGTGGTTCTTGGGACATGACTATATGTATTTGGGATCGTTCTACTTTGAAATGTTTGAAGGTGTTGGTGCATAATGATTGGGTTTGGAGTCTTTTACCACATGATACAATACTAATGAGCACAGCAGGTTCTGATGTACACCTCTGGGACATCTTTAGTGGAACTCTTCTCGCCGTTATTAATAGCGCACATGTTGGCAACACTTATTCTCTAACGTGTAGTCACACTGGGAAGCTCCTGTTTACTGGAGGAGAAGATGGTTCTATACACATGTTTGAGATCACAAGAAAGTGTAATTTACGAAAGATTGCAACATGGATTCCTCACACAGGATCTGTTTATTCACTTGCTTTTGAATTCCCTTGGCTGGTTTCAGCTTCCAGTGATGGGAAAATATCACTCATTGATGTGAGAAAATTGTTGAAAAAGACCAGCAGGCACTCTCCAATTCAAAATTCTTTTAAGGGCAACCACATGGACCAAAAACATGTAGAACCTCCTCAAAGAATGCTCCATGGGTTTGGCTGTAATTTGTTCTCGGTAGGCATTGGTTGTGATCGTATTGTTTGCGGAGGTGAAGAGGGTGTTGTCAGAATCTGGAACTTCTCCCAAGCTCTAGAGATCGAGCAGAAAGTCCGCATTTTAAGAGGCATACGGCTAGAAAACAGGATGAGGAGGCGTAAGCTCCAAATAAGTAGTAAAGGTAGCCAGAGTGAGCAATGTTTAGTTGCTGCAAAGAAAAATCAAACAAATGGTGATAGCAACAGGTGGCATTATAAGCACAAGGTAACTGGAAAGCTGAAGGTTCAAGGATAGGTTATAGTTTTCTGATTGTTTTTATACTCTGTAGTTCTCTAGTCTTTGGCTAGACGTGGATGGAATTGCAGTCTAATTGACTTTTGTTGCTACGTTGGCATTTAGATTTTAAACAAATATTTGATCCCTTTATAAAATTTGGTTATGGTTAATATCATAGTGTATGCTTCTTGACTCACAGTCGCGTTTCATGTTTTGAGTGTTTGGCTGATGGGGAATGACTTGTGGTATTTAGCAATTCATTTATCTCCTTCCCTTTCTTTTATTTTGATAAATGTAGGATTTGTTTCGCTCTTTTCTTTTTGCCTTTCATTTTTACTTTTAACTGATTGTGACTTGGGGATAGTACTTGTTGGATACCATGTGTTGTGTCTGAGGAAGTTGTATTTTTGAGACCGGAAAGATTTGGGGTACTAATTCTTAGTTTGCATGGTTGGTTTTGATGCACAAGTTTAAATAGTTAATTCTTACGGCATCCTTTATTAGATTATCCATTTGTTATGCCAGAAAATGAAATCATAAAATTAAAGGCTTTGTGTAGTGTATATCAGTATTAACTTTCATGTTCTGTGCCTCACTTTTCTGTACTTACTTTCTTGTTCGTTATTTCACCTATTGTGCCTTGCTCGGGCTGCAGTGTTGTTTGCCGGTAGAATAGAGTTGAAGCACACTGGTGCAGATGTCAAATAGAGGTGTAACAAGTGTGGCATAGCATTTACCTATTTTTTGTCGATAAACACAACTCCTTGTTTTGACAACTCTGCCCAAGTTTTCAATCCCAATCTCAAAGCTCGGGTAGAGGAGTGCTGATAGCTAAAGACTGTCAAATCTCTCTTAATAGGGAGCAAGCCTTAATTTGTTGATGCCTTGACATCAATGAAAATTTCCATCTTTTTCAGTGTTGCAAATTTGTTTTACTTGTGAGTGCGTATATTAGTTTGGTTTTCGAGTCATCTGAAAGTATCAATGACGTCTCTGCATTTGCGACGTGAATTTTTGAAATCACAAGCCAAATCTAAGCTGAACTTGAATCCAGAGATGCTACACGTATGCATTTTAAAATTTCCAATGCACCATTCTCGTGTAGACTAGATTTAACTTTTTATCGGAATTTCGTATGTATGCAATTTTTATAAATAGGTGAAGACAATACTTAAATCTTTTTCGTGATTTTGATGCTATCACAACTTCATCGAAAAGTAACTCTTTTTAGAGGTTGTGGAAATAATAATCCTTGACCAACAAGGACAAGGTGAACCGGACGAAGAGTTACTTTTAAAAACGAGGAAAATGTTTTCATTTAAATCTTGTCGTCCAAGAAGAAATTCTAGATTCTTTATAAATTTCTATCTACAATTGCGAGGACCCAAAACAGCATGCATTGGTCTCAAAATTTGAACTTCCAAACCAAAACGTATGAGATATATTTTGCATGTTAAGTCTCTCGAACTTATTTTAAATCAAACATTTTTTCAATAAAATAAATTTACGCGTAAATTTTTATTTTATTTTTCTATTTTTTAACTACACAATATTTAAAAAGATATTATTATAAAATTTATTTTCCCAAAAGACGACGCTCAAACAAATATTTTGGTCTCTAGAACCCTTGAATTACGGTTAACTGGCCTAAACCTCATGGCATTTAGATTTTAAACAAATATGTGATCCCTTTATAAAATTTGGTTATGGTTAATATCATAGTGTATGCTTCTTGACTCACAGTCGCGTTTCATGTGTTGAGTGTTTGGCTGATGGGGAATGACTTGTGGTATTTAGCAATTCATTTATCTCCTTCCCTTTCTTTTATTTTGATAAATGTAGTATTTGTTTCGCTCTTTTCTTTTTGCCTTTCATTTTTACTTTTAACTGATTGTGACTTGGGGATAGTACTTGTTGGATACCATGTGTTGTGTATGAGGAAGTTGTAATTTTGAGACCGGAAAGATTTGGGGTACTAATTCATAGTTTGCATGGTTGGTTTTGATGCACAAGTTTAAATAGTTAATTCTTACGGCATTCTTTATTAGATTATCCATTTGTTATGCCAGAAAATGGAATCATAAAATTAAAGGCTTTGTGTAGTGTATATCAGTATTAACTTTCATGTTCTGTGCCTCACTTTTCTGTATTTACTTTCTTGTTCCTTATTTCACCTATTGTGCCTTGCTCGGGCTGCAGTGTTGTTTGCCGGTAGAATAGAGTTGAAGCACACTGGTGCAGATGTCAAATAGAGGTGTAACAAGTGTAGCATAGCATTTACCTATTTGTTGTCGATAAACACAACTCCTTGTTTTGACAACTCTGCCCAAGTTTTCAATCCCAATATCAAAGCTCGGGTAGAGGAGTGCTGATAGCTAAAGACTTTGTCAAATCTTTCTTAATAGGGAGCAAGCCTTAATTTGTCGATGCGTTGACATCAATGAAAATTTGCATCTTTTTCAGTGTTGCAACTTGTTTTACTTGTGAGTGCGAATATTAGTTTGGTTTTCGAGTCATCTGAAAGTATCAATGACGTCTCTGCATTTGCGACGTGAATTTTTGAAATCACAAGCCAAATCTAAGCTGAACTTTTAAAATTTTCAATGCACCATTCTCGTGTAGACTAGATTTAACTTTTTTATCGGAATTTCGTATGTATGCAATTTTTATAAATAGGTGAAGACAATACTTAAATCTTTTTCGTGATTTTGATGCTATCACAACTTCATCGAAAAGTTACTCTTTTTAGAGGTTGTGGAAATAATAATCCTTGACCAACAAGGACAAGGTGAACCGGACGAAGAGTTACTTTTAAAAACGAGGAAAATGTTTTCATTTAGGGTGTGTTTGATTGCAAGCATGGAATTTACATGGAAAGAAAATAAATTCCAGGCAATTGAATTGCCTAAAAAATATTTGCATGGAAAATGCCAATTAAATGTGTTTGATTGACTTCATTTTCAACCTAGAAATTGTTGTCATTTTCCATCTTTTGGTGTTTGATAGTCATTATTTTTCATGGAAATAATCATTTTTTCCAACTTTTGTTGTTTGATAACCATTATTTTCCATGGAATTTGTCACTTTTTCCATGGAAATTGTAACTTTTCCATGAAAATTATTCAATCAATTTTTAGAAGTATTGTTCAATGGTATCTTCAATCTCTACACAAATAGAATTCGGATGCAAGATGAATTTAATACGTAACAAACACTTGAATAAATCGTTGAATATTATATTCCATTACTACAAAATGATGTGGAAACATGTTGTCAATGCCCGTGTTTCCAATCACAAAAAATGTATGTAGCCACTAGCCATCAATACGTAAATCAAAGCCATCTGTGAAATCCTCCCATGTCTCAGAAATTCCATATCAGAGCCGTGAGCCATGAGAAATTCTAACAACTACTCAAGCAGTCATGCAAATAAATATAACACTTTTAGATTCTGTAATCCTCTTCCATTGAAATTCAAACTGGGAAAATGGCCATCCATTTACGCAGCTAAACCCTTGGACAACAGCCAATCTTACTCCCAGTACACCACAAACAAAAATCACCTAGGCCAAGTGAAACTCCTTGAACTGAGAGTTTCCTCCAAATCTAGTATTAATCACTGACCCAAACCACACACTGATTGGCTGCTAGCAATTTGAGCCCACAAAGTTACATATAACATATATGTATATATTGTGCGCATTCTTTTGTATATTCTTACTTTGAAATCTTAATTTCTAATGGTAAGTTCGTAACTAAGTCGAATTTCAGATGGCAACCACCAATTCAGGCAATTTCCAACACAGCGTAACTTGATTAGCTCAAGATGAAGCGCCACTTCCAAGATTGATTTCAGCTCTCTAAAAAAAAATATCTGAATTGCACAGAAATCATATTTCAAGGATGAATGAACCCATAATTTTAGATGATAAATCAAATAATCAAAACCCACAACAAGTGATTAAAAATTTAAAACAGAGAAAACGAGAAATACCGAAATTATAAAATGATTGGCAGAGAATCAAGAAAGCCCATAAAACGAATCAATGGAATTGGCGAAGATCTCGCCAGTGGAGAGTATACAGAGCTGCGATTGGAGAGGACAAAGAACAGAATTAAGCCTTTGTTTGAGTTTTTTATGGTATAGATTTTTGGTATTTCTTCCTGGTTTTGTTGTGTGATTAGAGGTGAGAGGAGTGTTTTGTAAGTGGTTAAGATGAGAGAGATAAAAGGGTAACGTGGGTGTGCAAAATAGTTGAATTCCATGGAAAATAAAATCTACCTCAACCCAAAGAAAATATTTTCCCTGTTTTCAAGGAAAATATGGTCATCTGACTAAAAGTGGGAAAACATTTTCCATGGAAATAAATGTCAATCAAACAGTACAAAAGTAGGAATTTTAAAGGAAAACTGCCATTTTCCATGAAAAATATTGGCAATCAAACGCACCCTTAAATCTTGTCGTCCAAGAAGAAATTCTAGATTCTTTATAAATTTCTATCTACAATTGCGAGGACCCAAAACAACATGCATTGGTCTCAAAATTTGAACTTCCAAACCAAAACCTATGAGATATATTTTGCATGTTAAGTCTCTCGAACTTATTTTAAATCAAACATTTTTTCAATAAAATAAATTTACGCGTAAATTTTTATTTTTTTTCTATTTTTTAACTACACAATATTTAAAAAGATATTATTATAAAATTTATTTTCCCAAAAGACGACGCTCAAACAAATATTTTGGTCTCTAGAACCCTTATATTACGGTTAACTGGCCTAAACCTCATATTATTATAAAATTTATTTTCCCAAAAAGACGACGCTCAAACAAATACTTTGGTCTCTAAAACCCTTAAATTACGGTTAACTGGCCTAAACCTCCAAGAAGAAACAAAACAAGCTCTCAAAATAATCAAGAAAAACTTGAATTTTAGAACAAAATGAACAAGATTCAGTCCTAGCCCTTTCAGCATTTACGAGTAACAGAAAGGATAAGAAATGGCGAATAGAGGGTTAGTTCATGCTCTATGTTTTGTGATATTTTTTGTGATCAGTGTAAAACATGGTGCGCTGGAATTGAGGTTTTCAAATCAATCATCAGTGAAGGCAATGTATGTATTGGGGGATTCTTCTGTTGATTGTGGAGGGAACACTCCATTCTACAATCTCATACACCACAGTCTCTCCTTGTATCCATGCAATGGCTCTGATTCAAGTCTTGTTCCTCATCTTCTTGGTACTCCATTCCCCCACCCCCCCCCCCCCCCACACACACACACACAGAGTTGTAGAAATTGGATGATGAATGTAGAATTTCTTGATCATATTTTGGTTTCCTATTAATCTGATTTGGATTTCTTGAAATTAGTTTGTCCAATTTTGTTATAAAATGTTAATTGCTATTTTGTGTTTGTGGGTATTATGAAAATTAAAAATGGCACGTGTTAAATTCACCATCTTTGAGCTTAATGTGATGAATGTGAAGAAACCCTGATCAAGGAATACTTCCTTTCAAGAAATACCATATAAAGATTTAGAGCCCAATTTTTCTGCAACAGAATGATCCAATTATGAACCCATAAAAGATGGTTATGATCAGGCGATTAGTTCGTGGTAGCCATGGTATCGATTCGTCGAAACCTCCTAGTGTTACCAGATTTTCTCTCATTACTTCCGTTTCTAACAGCAGAATGTCTCTGATATGTTCACATGGTCCTCAGTTACGATTGCATAGATAATAGGGGGAATAACGATACTTTTTTTCTTGATGGTCGAAGAAATAGAGTGAGAATGGCAGTCCTATATTGATTTCTTATTGCAGATCTTCGATTTTTTCTTTAGCAATCTAGAAGAATTGGGTTGAGAAAATGTTAAAATTTCTGACGATGAACTCCTCTTTTGACACGGACGAAACTATATGTTGTTAGCATTCTTGAATCAATGTTATGGCAAATGTTGATTTTTGGTGTCTGACTTGTCAGATTTCATCTGTATCTATACTCTGTGATAGCCTGCTTGATTATGATACTTTTTATTTGATGCAGCTAAGAAAATGAACTTGTCATATGCCATACCATTTTACAGCCAAAATGGAACAATTCATGACCTTCTAACTGGAGTGAACTTTGGGGCAGCACATGCTACCATCCTATACGAGGGGAGTCGAGGTTACCAGTCTCTAAACCAGCAATTACGCCAAACTTTTGAGACTATTCAACTATTACAGCTTTGGCTCGGCCAAGAAGTTGCCACAGAATTCATCGAATCTTCCCTCTTCTACCTCTCAATTGGAAAAGATGACTTCATCGACTACTTCCTTAATAACTCATCTAGGATAAATCCTAGATTCAGTGGCCAAAACTTTACTCATATTTTGGTTAACCAGATGACAAATGCTATCAGAAATCTTTATGCCAATAATGTGAGGAAGATAGTATGCGCAGGCATTCTACCTTTGGGATGTGCACCACGAATGCTTTCTATGAGCAATGATAGAAGGCGTTGCGCCAGTGAGGTCAATAGGCTGGTATTGGAATATAACACGAGGCTGGAGGAGAAGATTGTTGCCCTTAATGCAGAGTTATCTGAAGCCCATATAATCTTTTGTGATGTTTATCGAGCCATACTGGAGTTCGTCAACAATCCTCAAAACTATGGTACGATTTGGTACTTTTTTCTTCTATTTCCACGACCATTTACTGCAGCTTAGAACTATAAACTCTCAACTGTCAAATGAATATGTTCTGTTCTGCATTTCTTTCTTTTTAGGATGTACATAATATGCATACTACGTAAAACGCATTTAGGCTAAAAAAACCCAGGCTCGGTTCTGTCATTTGGCGCTCGACTCATATATTCAGTTTCAACCAGTAAACTTAAAGTTCAACACACATTTGGGTGATTTACTGATCTACGCTAAAACTTGCAGGAGTTAAGGATGTACATAACGCGTGTTGTGGACTAGGCAGGTATCATGAGATGACTGGGTGCCTCTCTACGGACATGGCTTGCAATCAATCCTCAACCTATGTCTGGTGGGACTTATACAACCCTACCCCGGCTGTGAACTCATTGCTGGCTAATTCAGCCTGGTCGGGCGATCCATTGGCTGCTACTTGCCGCCCCATTACTGTTCAAGAGCTGGTGTCCTCTTCAGTGTAAGAACCAGCAACTTTGTGCAAATGGCTACTTTCTAACATTCATTACATTGTTTTCCTTGAGTGATTAGTACATCATGTAACTGCAATATTGGCTCGATATGGAGACGAATTTGGGTTGAGAAAATTTGTCGGTGTACATTTGTTTGTATATTGAGAAATATGTTTGATGTACTGGATAGAACCGAAAAGTCACGATTATTTGATTATGTTGTCCAAATATGTTCTTTGTAATTGTTCTATTAGGATTAATTTATGAATTTTCCAATCTAATGCAATCAAAAACCCCAAATGAAATTAAATAAATTTAAATGTCTCAAACAATAATGATTTAAATCTTGGAATAAATTACAGAAAATCAAATTCTAACACATTATTAATGTCAAATGAGATGGAATGTCTAGATATAATAATGAAGAAATCAATAATTATAAAAGACATTTATAAATAATATGAATGCTAATCCAACAAGAAAATGTTGGGTTGAGGCTAAATTCCTTGGACTTCCATTACCACGATTCCCTGGTGCTGGATTTGCTGCAACTGGTCCACCTATTTTTTAGAAAAAATAATTAATGTGTAGGAAATAATAATAAGCAATTTTCTTTATATCTAAATTACTAAATTGCATAAGATATGTTCGATAAGATGAAGTTGACAAGACTAAGTATGATTAAGAATAAGAGATCCTTGACATATTTGTTTATTCGTAAATACTTGATTTTGCATATCGTATTATGAATATATATTCTAGAGGAAAATTAAGAGTAAGCGAGGATACCAGAAGAGATAGGGCCTTCGCTTGGTGCTGGAGCTCCTACTGGAACACCGAGGACTACAAATGACAAATCATAATATTGATTTGGATTCTCGAGAAGTAATTTAAAATTAAATCTTAAGAACATCGTAACAATGTGCAATAAACATTAAGAACATTAAATATTAACCAACTAACCAATCAACAATTGGGGAAATTTCGACAAAAATAGTGGAATTGTAATTAATATTATTCAGAGTGCATGGCAGGGATAGATCTATGAATAATAAAGTTGTGGGGACAGAAATTTCAATTTTAAAAATATTAAAGTAATTGCAAATTCTTAAAAATAAGATTTTAGCAATAGGAATTAAAATTTAGATTTTAATTTAAATCAAAATCAATAATTAATTTTAAACACATATTTAATTGGATCCAATTCTTTTCAATGACACATTTAATCAATTTTGATCAAAATCTACTAAAATTTTGATTTTAATCCTCACCGAACATGGGCTAAAAAATCCGGGCCTCGTTCAGATTCAAAATTTTGTTTTAAAAAGTTGAAATGGGACAAATATTTAAAATTAAAAACATAAAAAAGTATCCCTAAGATAGATCTTGCTTTTATTCTAGCCAGGTCGTGACAATTATTAAGGATTCATGTTGTAAGATTTCTACTTTTGCTTTCAATTCTTATTAAATAAAGTACTTTCAGAAAATTATTCAAATATGTCCAAACACAGTTTCTTAATCTCGAAATTAGTTTTTAATTTTTCAAAAGCATGCCAAACGAGGCCTAAATTTATCAAGAATCTTTGTGCTAGAGTAAATTATTAGCATCACATTTATGTAATAGACTAATAGTTATGAAGTAATTAATATAAAATTAATAAAAATTATGTTTATTAAAAAAAAAACCTTACTTTTGGTCCCCGTATTTTAAAACTTATTTTTTTTATTCGTTTTTAACCACGTATTTTATAAGAATCACAACTTTTCAATAATAAATTTCATTATTTTTTATTAAAATCTACTAAATTTATTATTTTTTTTAACAAAACCAAACAGCGACTAAGTTTTGTGTACAAAAAATTCACATCTTTTCTACTCTATTTTCTACAATAATTAAATTCTTTAACGGTAACTATAATTTAAAAATGGCATAAAAATCCAAAAGTCCGATTCTAAATTCTCAGTCTCACTTCATCCATGAGAGTTGAGGTCAAAATATAGACAGAAATAGCGAGTTTCTAAATATAAGTAAAAAAAAAAAAGTTACTTATTTTTGGTAGACGTACCTGAGCACAAGCTCACTGGAGGAGTATTACAAGCAGAAGGGAGTTGTAAGGCTTTCTTCATATCAACTGTCAATCCAAATTGATTAGGATCTCGAAGCATTTGGCAGAGACAAATTGGCTGTGAATTCAGCAAATTTGATAGCTCAGGACAGCACGCTTTATCTGGCTTAGTCAAATTGCTACCAGGTTCCACAAAAGTTAAGCAGTCAGATAAATTAAGCAAGTAACTGAAGCAATCCACTCCTGGTGAAGGTGCCAATGGTCCCGGAGCAACCGGTGGCTCCGTGGCCGGGGCGGGGGCGGGTGTCGACTGAGCTCTTAGGCATGGAAGCGCCACCAGGAACACGGTGATGATAATGAGGGAGTAAGCTTTAGCCGTGGTGGTGGTGGTGGGCTTGGCCATGCTGCTTTTGGGGTATTGGTTTATGATATGACTTTGAGAGGAGAAAGAAGCAAATATAAAGTTCGGAATTGCTTCCTATTAATTGCTATGTACCCACAAAGTCGTATCGAGAGATGGAATAAATTTATTTATATCGATACGTCTGTATATCGCTAGACATATTATGTTGTTGTTTCGTCACGAATTATAAGATATAAAATTGTAATAAGGTACGATATTATGTTAAAATAAATATAGTAGTTGAGAAGAAAGGAGGGGTGGAATTGCAAGAGACAGCTAGATGTGAGTAAGAAGATTGATGCCAACTTTTGTTAGTCAAGTTGAATTTTGGTGCATCTACTACCGAACTGTGTTTAATACGCCGTTTCTATATTTGGCACCACCCCATGCATTTATTATGCCATCGAGGATCGGCATAATCGAGGGTAGATCCAACATTTTTATCAAGGGGTCGAAACTTAATAACGACAGTCCATCGATATATATTATATAGCAAAACAATCGTTGAAGGATATTATTTATTAAGTCACTGTTTGGTGGGGATTAAAATCAGATTTTTAGTAGATTTTGATAAAAAAAATGATAAAATGTGTGGTTGAAAAGTTGTGGGTCCCATAAAGCGTGTTCTTAAAATTAGTTGTTGACTTTGACTCAATCAAACAAAGTGTAAGCCCCTGTTGGGGACACCTTTTTATCTCATTAAAATGAAAAATATGACTTTTATCCATCACATCAACATTTAAATTCAAATTTTCTATCTCTTGTGTGGGTCCCAATAACTGCTATATTTTTCATTCTCATTCTACAAAAAGGTGGCTCAAACATGGCCTAAAGGTGTTCATGACGAGAATTACAAACATACTATTCATTTACAGTCAACAAGTTCTCATTCATGAGGTATTGCACGATATGAATGAATATTGAATTTTGATCAATTCATCGTGAAGTGTTCTTACGCTAGATTGGTTTGTCTTTTTAATGAATGAAAAGTATGTATTTCCTCTCTTGATACAAGATAGCCCTTTTAGTTATTTCGATTCGATCTCCCATTTTGATTATCCAAGAATGATCGTGGTCTTATCTTATTATAATTCGATTGAGAGTAATAAATTGACTTAAATGTCCTACGAAAATAGTACCTATGACTTTAACATTGGAAGGCATGCAAATAAATTTGTTCATAAATATTGTTCACATGTGTGTAAACCTTACACTTTATTCCACAATCAATGGGTAAAAAATGCTTTGACAGTTAGATCATAATCTTCATGCAAATATTGGAAACTTTTTGATTGACTTTCTTTAAAATGTGTTGTGTATCACTTTCTTTTTCTTTTTCCTCTATCCTATGCATGTGATAGCGCAACACCCCAATGTAAAATTGATTTTACCACATAAATACGAAAGCGAAAAAAATCTTTACTTTCGACTTTAAGTCATGATAATATGCAATCATAACTTTTCGAAAATAAATATAATAAAAAAATTAATGAATTTATTCTCTTCAAATCCTCTTTATAGTTCACATCTCCATTCTGCCATATATCCCATCAACTCGAACTAACCTGTAAATTTTATCGGAGTGTATGATTGACAATACACATAAAGATACAAACGGTTAATTTCTAAGGCCTTTTCATGTAACTTAATACGAGATTTTGGTAGGGCGCTAGAATATTAGTATATTAATTCTCACACTATCGATATTTCGATATTAGGCACAAGTATTACGTCTTGAGGAAAGCAATCACGTAAACAAGTGAACCTCGGACTCACTAGTTTGACTAAGACATGAACCGACTTTAAATAAAAAGTTTTGAACGTACTAAAATAATATTGATAATTAATCAGGTTATTGCTCAATCTTACGTAACCCGATTTTCACAATGGTGAAATATTTGTCCAATGTAACATGTGGTTCACAACATGTTTTGTCCCCAAATTTGAACAAGTTGGGGTTGCCTTTAGGTTTTGGGAATTATTGGGTGGCTTCAACAAAGTAAGAAGCATTTATTGATACTGATGAAAGAATTAAATCAACTAAAATGTAGCATGTTTACACGAGAAGTTGTCTCTATTTTCAACTTTATTTATTGAGTTAGGTGCCATATTTATATCACTGGAATTTCCGTACATATTCAAATTTGGAAAAATTGCATATGAGGTCCCTAACTTAGGTCAATTACATAGGAAAATTTGCACTTTTCGTCTCCAATATTTGCAAAATGTAACAAATATAGCATCGACCCTTTTTTAAACATAATTCATTTTCAACCTTTTAATTATATAGCAAAACTCGTCATTTCCTCCGTTGTAACCCTTAAACGACGAATTTGTCATTCTCTTTAAATAAATGAACATAACAAATGTAGTAAAATAACAAAAAATGCGAATAAAATTTTATAACTTTTTAAAAGTACAAATAATCGCATTTAAAATAATTAAATACATATTAACGTGCGCGCGCACACAAAAAAAAAGTATTTAGAGAAATTTCATATTCCCTAGCCCACACATCCACATCCAGTGAGGTTAAATGGCATTAGTCCACAGGAAATTTTGAAAATATTAAGGAGACAATCACCATCTCTGCGATCTGTCCCTCAGCCATTGGACTATTGGGTGATTCCTTCAATATTTGTTTCTTTTGATGCCAAAAATTCTTCCACTTTGGACTTGGACTTCCAAATGATCTTGAAATGCTTCTATGCTTTATGTTGGACTTTAATTCTTGGGCTTAATTATCTCTTTTGGACTTCAGCCTATATTTGCGCCACATACCCTAAAAATTCTTCTTCTTCTTTTTTTTTTTTTTTCCCAATTACACATTTTCCTAATAAAGTAATCTTACACGTAAATTCAATTTTTTCTTACTTTTTAATCACACATTTTTCAAAAAAAATCACTATTACAAAATTCATTTTCAATTACGTGTTCACTTAAAAAAGTTAAGTGGCATTCAAGTGAGTTACATCAACTAGATCATCAAAATCAGCAACAATTGTCCCCATCTTTTCTTTTCCTTGACTACAAGATACTTTGTCGTACGATAGGTACATAACCAATGTCATTTCATTATACATCTACGACAACTTTTTTCATTCTCCTTTTTGGACGAGTTGTTTTCATTTGCTCTATTTTTCTTGAAATTGTTGCTTATTGCTGATGGTTTTATCGATTATTTCGCTCGTGATCTTTTCCACGTTCACGTCTACATCCACATCCACATCCATGTGTTGATAATGCACCTATTTCAGGCAACACAGTATCATTAGCTTTAGACAACGTTATGGAACCAATTTGATGTAATTTATGATTTTTCATCGATAATTAATTGTTTTGATCAGCTACAATATATGAGTTGTAAATATTTTTTGAAATCATGCTCATAATATTATTGCTGCTAGAGCATATCTATACATGAAAAATGGTTGAACTTTTTTTTTTTCTAACATATTTTCATCGGCGATTTTCCCCCCACACAATTAATTTTGAAAAATTCACTAACAGTTTAAAGTCTTGCAAGTCAATGTGTATCCACTAATAGCGGGCTTTGAAAGGACTACAATCCTTCAATTAAAAAAAAAAAAAAAACTATGGATCCTTCACGATCGAGTGCTTGTAGTGGTGTCAATGGGCCCAATCGAACCGACTGGCCCTTAAAGCCACGAGCTCACGAGCCGGCTCCTGCCTTGTTTGCTCATGGGCGAGCTCGGCTCGGCCCACGAGCTCGTGAACTAACGAGCCACGAGCAAAGCAAGTCGGCTCGTGGCTCGTTTGATTTTAAATTTATATTTATTTTTATTTTTAGTTTTCTTTGTTTTTTTTTTTCACTAGCCCACGAGCTCGGCTTGTGAGCACCACCCACGAGCACATCTAGCTAGCAGGCCTCTTGGCTCGTGGCTCGGGCTCGTCTTTGACGAGCTCGAGCGGCTCGTGCTCGTCTTTTCACGAACCGACGAGCCGCTTAGCTCTTTTGACATCACTAGGTGTTTGATTTTTAATCTATCGAGAAAATGACGACGATGGAAGATAAATGCTATTATTTGATCATGTAGGGATTTTCTTCTTCCTTCTTTTATTTTCTCCCCCATAACCTAGATAAAATAGAATCTCGACATTGAGAGTCCATGACGTGTAATTTCTGCTTAATAAGTCGAGTGCTATAAATTTTAAACTGTTTGATGTTCACAATTTGAGTAACCATAGGTTTAAATGAAAAAAAAAAAAGTTTTATAATTTTTGAAAAATATGATCAAATAATATATATAATCATATAAGAACTAATTAAGAAATCAAATTAATCAATGTCAATATGACATGATTTGTATGTTTTTCTTCGGGGAAGATCACAATGAGATTAGATGAAATAATATTATTCGAGATATGCACTACTTCGAAAGCATGATAAATATATATATTTAAAGTAATGAAATATTTTGACTATTATTTTAATATTTTCTTGTAATATTAAAATTGTAATGTCAGTAGATAATATTATTTCAAAATTGTATAACATTGTTCTTTTTCGGGAGCAACAACAATTAGATATCAATTAAAATTAACAAAAAAAAAAAAACTAATCAATTTATACAATAAAACATATATATTTTTTCATACAATAGTATATAATATGCAAACATTAGTCACATCACACAATCACATGAAAAATATTCACCTTTATATGCAACTAACTTTTAATAATTAACATGAGATGAGAGAGAATTAACTGGAATATGCATCTAAAAGGAGAAAAAAATTAATAATTAAAGAAAAAATAATCATTAATAATTTCCCTTAATTTTACAAAAATAAAAATAAAAATAAAAATTATATATCTAAAAACAAAGTAATCAAAGAGCCGGAACCTGCAAAAGACGGAAATGAAGAAAATAGCATTGCTGGTAATGGGCTGTGGTGGCGTCGGCCGCCAGCTCCTCCACCACATAATCGCCTGCCGCCCCCTCCATTCCAAGCTGGTATATATCATTTTTATACCTGTACCGCTACATTTAATCCTAATATGTGATCGTGCGTGTTGTGTGTGCCAAGTGTTTTTGGGGAGTCTAAGAATTTGTATTTAATTTTTTGTGGGAATTATGGTAATTGGTGCAGGGGGTGCGGCTAAGAGTGGTGGGAGTGTGCGACAGCAAATCAATGGTAGCTGCTCCGGATGCTTTTACCGCAGAATTAGATGATGAGTTATTACTGCAGGTTTGCAAAGTCAAGTCTAGTGGCTCTTCTCTGCAAACCCTCAGCAATTTTGGTAAAAATTGAATCTCTACAAATTTATACACTCACATAACTGAGGATTATTGATAACTGTGTCTCAAACTTAATCGTATATGTAGGTAAATGCAACGTATTTTCAAGTCAAGAAACTGCAAGGGAAGTCATTGACATTGCTACCCTTTTGGGTAAATCGACAGGTTTGTTTTCTCATTTCTCTAAAGCCCGTTTACGGATTTATGAATTGAAATTTACCAGTTTTTGCAATAGTGTAATTACTTGGACTGAAACTGTTGAAGCCTCTCAAATTCAGCACGAATGCATGGATGATCATTTTCAATTTTAAAATCACACCATTTCCTAATTTTCGTATACTTAAGGTTGCCTATAAGTTCTAGTACATAAATATGGCTAATGTTAAACAAAATGCAAATTGGTGCTCAAACTTAGCCATAGTTCCCACTTTAATGTCATATATAATTGTTGCTAACATTTTTTTTTTGAAAAGTATTACCCGAGTTGCCGTCCTGTTTCCAGGCTTACCTTGGAGTTATGACAAACGGCAGCTACTAATTGACCTTAATGGAAATTTCTAATTTTTTAATTAATTAAAGATATAATAACAGGCGCTAAATTGCGTCTTATCCAAAGTCCGAATTTTCTGAAAATTAAGACATAATATTGTTACTGTGGTCCAGATTTACAGCTTTTTAAAATGCACTTATATGTCAATGAATTTAACTGGAATTACTGTCTAATATGACAGGAGTGGCACTTGTAGATTGCTCAGCTAGTTCTGAGACTATTGGAGTGCTGAGCCAAGCAGTGGACTTAGGTTGCTGCATGGTGCTGGCAAATAAGAAGTCTCTGGCCTCTTCATTGGTAACAGATTCTTTTACAGTATTAATTTGTTGATTGCTCAGATATTTCCACAAAAAATAAAGTTTTACTAGTGGCGTGCTCAGATTTTTATTTTTTCAGCTTCCAATATCATAGATGTGGAAATCCTGTCATCCTCTTTGTTGGCAGTATGTATTAGAGACATTGCAATTTCTCTTAATTTCGCAGGAATATTATGACAAGTTGGTCTCACAACCTCGGCGGATTCGATATGAGTCAACGGTAAGTAGTGCTTTATTCTGGATGTCGTTAGCTTGGTCTTACATATTGGAAAATTGGAAGCAACAAACTTATGGCCTTAAGTGAAGTTACTGTTTGGTGATAGCAATGGATAATAAGGACACCAAATCTCAAATTGGCCACATTCTATCTTTATTCTCAGAGCTAAGAGCGTGTAAGACAATACACAAAATTCCCACATTTTTTCCTTTAGATTTACAATTAATGGTGCATAAACTTGTCTACAACATCTTGTACTTTGAGCAAGACATAGATCACGAGCTGGCAACAACTGGTTGTTACACAATTTTATTTTTTTTATATTGAGTTTGGTTAGTTCATTCAGGTTCCAACTTTTCTTTGTCATTTAATCATTTAGAAGTGCTGGAGAAAATGTGCTATAACTGGTTACGTGAAGGATCACAATTCAACTTTTAAAATTTTTTATATCACACACTTGAGAAAAGATATTGGTCCATAGCAAACCGAAGTCATATTTTTTGTTCTTTAGCTCATGGTATTACCACTCAATTATAATAGACTTGCATCGAGGTCTGTTCTAAGATATGATCTATTTTTAATCATGGATGAGCTTACCAGAGCTATCAAAGATGAGGTCTGTTGATGTATGTCATTTGTTGATTATATAATTTTAATTGATGTGATAGCTCGTGTGATGAACTGTAAATTAAAGCTTTGAAGGAAAGTTTAGGAACCTAATATGAAATTAAGCCGAACTAAGATGGAATACCTGAAATGTCATATTAATCATATATCTACAATGCTAACGGAAATTTTGCAGAAAATCTGTTATACTATCTATGGTTTATGGCACTGGGTGTTGCAATAAAGAATAAGATAAACTTAGTAGAAATGATGATATTAAAATAGAAATGAGACGAGATGATACACAATCAAATGAAGCTGCTATCAATTGGCAATAAATTAAGGAAAAGACATTAAAGGTAGTTGAAACATGTCTTGTGAAGACAGAAAGACTCTCTAATTTACAAACAACTCCAAGTGTGTTAGGGATAAGGTTTATCTTCTCGTAGTTACTCAGAGAAGGTTTTCTGGTTTAAAAAAAAAAGATTAGCTTTCAAGAGATAATGGCTGAAATAAGTTTGTCTAGTAGAATGTTTTAACTTACATTATCCAGAATTATGGAAAGGTATGCTAGAATTTCCACCTTTTTTTTCATATAATGTGGTAGGTTGGTGCCGGCCTCCCCGTGATAGCATCTATTAATCGTATACTTTCATCTGGAGATCCTATCTACCGTATTGTTGGAAGTCTGAGTGGTACTTTTTTTTTTTAATTCCATCCTTTTCTTTACCTCAACCTTCTACTTCTCCCAACTTGTTGAGATCTTCAAAATTTGCTGAACGTGATGATAAACTTGTCTTGTATTCCTATGACTATTAGGTACGTTGGGTTATGTGATGAGCGAGGTAGAAGGCGGAAAACCTTTCAGCCAAGTTGTCAAAGCGGCGAAAAGCCTTGGATACACTGAACCTGGTAATGAAATGCTACCAATCTAATAAATTACAAAAAAAAAAAAAATTATTATTTGATTTTGAGTGTCCTTGATAATATAGTAGTCATTTTGTAACCATAAATCATGATACAATGAATTTCAATTCTATATTGTGCCATGCTGAAAGATATGATTAAGAATAAGTTTTTCTTATTGTTTTTTATGTAGTAATGGGCAAACTTTTGACAAAAGAAACAGGGTTATTTGTACCCTATCTTGTAAAGGAAGTTGAGGGCTCACACTTTCGTGCTATATCTATTGCATCTAATGGACATCCATGATATGCAATACTCTCTAGTCCTAACTGGTTGATGGCCTTATCACATTCTCTGGTGAATTAATGTTGAAAATGCATAATTGTTATGTGCTCTTTTTCCATTTTTAATTGACTTTTTCCAAAGCAAATATAGCCTCTATAATGAATTGCTGCTCTAGCTTATATTAGTTTATCTGCAGATTGATTGATATGGTAGTTTGTTAGAAATCTTGTATATAAGAAAAAGCTCAGTGGTCTTATGACTATACTGGTTACCAAAATGATCTTGCAGAAGAGAGACATGATTAACAAACACTGGAAGAGAAAATATAAAAGCCTATATCTCCTTCCCTCTTCTATGTGATATTATCTTTCTAGATGTGTGAATTTAGTGCAATCTTTATAAGGCCCTTTGAAAAACTGCTCTTTCTCTTTGATCAATTTTTCACTTTTGGTAATCCAAAAACTAATTCAGGAAAATATATTTTATGAAAATTTATTAGATCACAAATGAATTTCTGTCCACTAAACTGCATCAGATGGAAAAATTATTTGTAGTAAAGCCGGTGTGAACTTTAATTCCTGATTAAACTTTAAGATTTAACTTGTTGCGCAGCATTAAATACCATGTGAATGGGACAATTATACTTCTTTATTCTGCTTTGGTCATATGACATGCTTCTTAAATAAATGTGTATTTGAATTTGTAACAAGGTTGATCCTAAGGTCTAGGAATGGTCAGCCATAAAAGGTTGAGGTAATGGATTGGTGAAAATGATTCATTTAGCATAAAAATGATCCAGATGTACTTTGTCGTTGATCTTGTCATGAATAACAAATGAAATTCAAGGCGTGATTGGACCAGAAAAAAAATATTAAACTAATTAGTGAGGCCGGTTATATATTTGACCTTTGGACTTTTTATAAGACACAACAAAATTGATTACGAAGCAAAGTGCACCAAACCCCTGAATTGGTAATTGGTACATTCTGCATAGTTTGTCATTCTTGTAAAAATTTGGGGAATATGGATGATTCTTATATTGAGTTTCATTTTTGCTCTCAGATCCTCGAGATGATCTTAGTGGGACGGATGTAGCAAGGAAGGTGTGGATACTCTGCATTTTTCTAATATATGTTTAATCCAATAAGATGGTGGGGAAAAATTCTCATTATAGTTTACAAAAATGATGCAAGTGCGTGATGCTGATCCTTAAAAAGAAGGTTTTGTATTGTTACTCTAACTATTCATATACCGAACTGTACAATAGATCTACTTTGTAAGATATTATCAGGTAATCACCCGAAGAGGTTGAATACTTTAAGGATGCATCAAGTCTGTGGAAGTTTGGTATGTTCTGGACTATCAGAAGATATCATAATGACGTTTACTAAATTTCCTTGCTAGCAACATCTCATACATGTTTGCACTTTGGTCCTTTTAAAGTGTTTGTAATGGTTGGTATCATCTTCAGCCAAGATTAATTAAAATAGTTGGATGATCACAAGTCAGTAATTGGCACTTCAGATTCTGAGTTGATTGTTTCTTTTCACTGTGCTAACAATAAGTTTTTTTGTATTCCTTTGTTGGCATTTCAATGTATATATTATGATGCTAATTGCAAGAAAATTTGCCAGCATGTAGATTATGATTTATTGATGGTTTCTTTACGTATTTCCAAAACAGGCTCTGATCCTTGCTCGACTTCTTGGACATCGTATCAACTTGGACGCCATTAAGGTTAGAACTTTTAGTATGTGTCATGATATCTCATCCTTCATTCATGATATCTCATCCTTCATCGAATAGTTCAAGTATATATTTAATGACGGAAATTCTGGTAGATTGAAAGCTTGTACCCTGTAGAATTGGGACCCGATGTAATGCCCGTGGAAGACTTTTTGGTGCATGGCCTTCCCTTGCTTGATAAAGACATCCAAAATCGTATCGATAATGCTTCGTCAAATGGAAAGGTTCTGCGTTATGTCTGTTTGATTGAGGACTCCAGGTATTTCATTGCTTTTTGACTACATATTGTTATATGTACTGCCAACTAGCGAAAATGAAATCTTTAATGAATCTCACGAGCCTTGATTCAGAAAGATCTTTGTGTGTCGTCGATTGGCTAGATTTAAAAAGTAATTGCTGTTACTTATTGAAGTTCACATTTTATCTGCTCTTTATCAAGTCTTCAGCTGGTTTTATATTGATTCTATTTCTTATGTTATTAGTACATGCTTTTCTCATTGGAAAAGTTCTAAAAGAGCGAACGGTTTGTTTAAAAGCACGCTGTTGTTCTATTTTGACTTGATATTAAACCAAACTAATCATTTAACACAGCTTTTCACCTCTTGCTAGGTGTGAAGTTGGCATACAAGAACTTCCAAGAGATTCAGCTCTGGGAAGATTGAGGGGAAGTGATAATGTGGTAAGATTTTTCTCAGCTATATTTTTTGCACTTTCTTCAGCTTCCACTCTCCAATTCCTCTTATGCTGACCTCCCAGTCTCTATTATGAAGATTGATACCACGTGCAAAAACATCTTCTTTTTATACTAGGCAAAAGTTTATTATTATGGCATACATAATGAAAAGACAGTCAAGGCATGCTCAGAAGGGGGACTAACTTCATATTGGAATTTGATATTCGACTAGAAGAATGAACTGACCTCTTAGGACACTATGATGTGCAACCAATAGAAGAAATAAAGTGATGTGGAATGATTCTGTAACCCCATCTAGATCACTGAACTTAGCCATGAATTAGTTGAGAGAGCCGGGAAAGAAAAGTCCAATCTCATAGATGCTGTCCTATCCACTGTCAGCAACCCCACTAATAGATGAAATCTTCAGGCATTGTCATGTACATCACACTGCTTCTTTATCTTGATAGCTTGTTCATGCATTCATATTTGTTTTCTAGTTTTTGAAGGAATTAATCTTTCGGGACGAACTCTTTTCTTCAATTCCTGTTTAATTTTTACTGTTGAATAAAACTGCAGTTGGAGATTTACAGCCGTTGCTATAAGGCACAACCATTGGTCATTCAAGGTGCTGGAGCAGGAAATGATACTACTGCAGCTGGCGTGCTTGCCGATATCCTTGATATACAGGATCTATTTCCCTGATTACATGTTGAACAAGGTGAATTAAACAGTATTTGCCAGCATTAAATAAATTAAAATTTTGCTCATTGTACTTTTCAATTTGATTTAATAGCGTGTACCAGACATGCACCATGGACTGAAAAATTCTATGTGCAGAAACTTGAGCAAAAGTTTTTGGTATGATTTAATCATGTTTTGAGTGAAGTAATTAGGCTTGATCTATAGAAGAATGGTGGTAGAATGCCAGATTATATGAATAAGTGAGATTCAAGGTTGTGTTATTAAATTTATGGGTTATATATCAGATTATCAAAAAATAAGTAATTCTACATGAATTTGAGCATGTTTGGGGTAGCTTATCTTAAAGATAAGCTCCAATTGTATAGTTTATGTTGGCTTATTTTGGATGCAGGTAGGCCCATGTAAAAGATCATCTTCACATTTGGAGCTTATCTTTAAGATAAGCCAAATCAAACATGGCTTTAAGAAGTTTCAAGACAAGTTAGTTTTATGTTTGTGATCAAGATTCTTCACTAAAAATTAGTCAAGTGAAATACAATTAGATTTGAACTGATTGTTGAATGGAGTTGGAGATAATGTATGGATATATTATTCGACTCTAATTACAGTAATTAATGAGAATTGAGATAGGGATTGAAATAATAATTTGTTTGAGGTATTCATTCACATCACGATGAAATAAACTAGTTATCAGGTTCAAGTCAAAATTATTCTGATTTTGTGTCTTAGAAAATCAAGAGTTAATTGTTCAAATGGTCACTGAACTTATGTCTCTGTCTTCCATTGCTGATTGAAGTTTAAAATGTCGAGTTTGGCCATTGAACTTTAGAAAAGGTTCGACACTGGAATAATTTCTGTTAAATCTCTAATGGATCGGTGATGTGACTGACGGAATGTACACGTGGTGTGCCGTCACGCTGTTAAACTTTGAGATGTTTGAATTTAGACCACTAAATTTTGGAAAACGTTTTTGATTGCTCACTAAATTCTGGAAAATGTCTTCTATTACTTACTGACCTTTGAAGTGGTCGAATTTTGGTCACCAAGCTTTAAGATGACCGCATTTTGGCCACTAAACTTTAAAAAACATCTTGTATTCCTTACAATAAATTTGGATTTAATTAAATTACGTTGTTAAAATTTGAATTTAAATTAATTATAATATTGTGTATTTCATTGTAAACTCAAATATTAAATTCATATTTAATTTAATTTTAATAACAAATTTATTTTATATTTCGTTGCAAAATTCAAATATTATAATGGACAAAGCTGTGCAAATGAAGTGACTATACACGATAAATTTGTCATTAAAATGTACCTTTAATATTTGAATTTTACAACAAAATACACAACAAGCCCCCTGTTTTGTCAGGATTAAAATTAGAATTTTAGCAAATTTTAATAAAATTGATGAAAAATATTTTTGAAAAGTTGTGGATCCTAAATACGTGGTTAAAATTGATTGTTGACTTCGAATTTGGAAAAAAATCTAGATTTTGATTCCTATTAAATATGGACTAAATTTGTTGTTAGAATTAAATTAAATTCAAATTTTAATCCAAAACTTATCAATGAATTTTAATTAAATCAAAATTCATTGCGGCAATAAAAGATGTTTTCTAAAATTTACTGGTCAAAATTTGATGGCCTCAAAGTTTATTGAGCAATAGAAAACATTTTTCAAAGTTTAGTAAGCAACCGTAAGCTTTTTCAAAGTTTAATGGCTAAAATTCGATTATCTCCAAATCAGTGGTCAAAATTCAAAGTTTAGTGATCAGAATTTGAAAACTTTAAAGTTCAATGAATGTTTTTCAAAGTTTAGTGATCAATCGAAGACATTTTTCAAAGTTTAGTAATCAAAATTCAATTATCTCAAAATTCAACGACATGACATTTTGTTGGCCACATCATCAATTTTGTTAGAGACTTTAAACGGAAGTTATATCAATGATTAACATCCAATGTTTTTTAAAATTTAATGGTCAAAATTTAATATCTCAAATTTCAATGAGCAATTGAAGATATGGACATAAAGTTCATTCGAACATTTAACTCTAGAATTTCAATAATCAAATGGTTTTGGCTCAATTATTAGATACTATTGCATAAAGAAAATTTTGATTTAGTTTTAAAAGCAGTTTTTTTAATAAATTTGTTGTTTAAATATATTAACAATATGTATTCTGAATAATAATAAATTTGTCAAAATGAAAAGTTTGAAAGTGAAATAAAAACATTTCAACAAGAATTTACACTTTGAAGATACGTTTTGATGGGGGAATCGATCATTTCAATTCTCAATAAATTTCAACCGTACCATAGAGTGCCTATTTGGGAACCCTAATGTTGACATACAAAAATAAAGTCCAATTAAATGGTTCAAAGAATGAAACTCGATTAGAAAATTCGAAGGGTGTATCAAAATCCAAGAAGGAGTTATGTAATGGAGGTCCATCATTGTCCAAGCCTATGAGACACCCAAGATCTCGATGAGCCATCATCGCTCAAGCCTGTGTGACGCTCAAAATCTGAGCGAATATAGTATTTTGGTTACTGTGCGAAGCAGCGATTATTAAAGCAGTTAACGAGCAATCTTATCACATCCCCTTACCAAAAAAAAAGGTTGAAATCTTATCACATTGCATTATCCAGATAATGGCAGCGGTTGAAAACGGTAGTTTTATGACAAGTCATCCACGATGGAGAAAGTGGGTAGTTATAGTACGATGGACAGTTTCCAAGAGTTTTCAAATGGTTTTACGAGAGAAACTGTCAAAAAGAGTATAAAAGAGAGAGCTAAATCTATAAGAGAAAAAGATTAAATCAACTCTCAAACAGAAAACTATGTAATTTCATTTCTTAATTAACTTTCAATTATTTCCTTCTAAAATTCGTGTGCTTGCGCCCCTAGTCTGCCCATGATTTTGTTTCGCCCATAATGTAATCTTAATCAATGAAATACCCATCGTTGGGACTTTGTCTCGAGAAGTGATCTATCTTTTAATTGTTAGCGATGCTCTATTTCCTAACGAAACATCTAAAAAATTGTAATTAAAATGCACAAGGGATGACTTCTTAAAAAAAAATACAGAAGGGACTGTTCTCAAAAACAATTTCACACGATTTATTAATTTTAAATAAAAATTTAGAGTTATTAATTAGAGTAATACAAAATAATTAATATATCACATGAAACCCGGTTCAACTGCTTTCAATAAACTATAATCGGTTTTCTCAACTTTTTGCCCTTTCAGCCGATTTTCCCAGGGAGAACTGCCCCGAAGGTGCTCGACTAGTGTCTCTCTCTCCCCGTCTTACACAAGGTATTTTCTTTCTCTGCCCCGAACATCCATAGGTACATCAAAAACCCTTTTATTTTTTCTCTCTGTTATGTTCATACATAAGGATCTATTCAGTGATTCAGACGTATATAAGTTTATGTCGTTTGGGTTTTCTTTTCTGAATACTTTATTGGTGAATTGCCGAGGAAAATAAAATCTTGCAACTGGGTTTTCTGTTTTTGATTTCTATATGCCAAGATTAGGCTAAACGCGCCTATATTTATTATGGGGTTGGTGGTGGAATATATGCAAAATATATGGCCTTTTTCTGCATTTATAATTAATAATGATTTAAGAGCATCAGATGGAATAGTGAAAAAATTACCGGTGCCTGAAAGTACGAAACAGTTTGTTTACGCTATCCGTGAGCCTGAATCAGGGTCTATTATCTATGTACTGTCTGTTCAGAAATTATCAGAAAGGTCGGCTTCGGATGCTGAGTGTCTCATAAGAGCGATTAAGCCTGATGCTGTTGTTGTTCATGTGGGAAATTCTAATGATTCGGACATTATTGACTTGCCGAATGGCGGAATCGGGTCAATGAACAATAGAATTTGCGAGAGTAGTGAAAATGGTAATAGTGTTGATGAGTACGCTGTACCGACATCGTCATTTGAGGTGTTGAAAAGATGTTTTGTGCATAAGACTAATAGGGAGAAGTATGAGAAAGTGGCAGGGAGTTTATTGTTGAAAGAAGTTTTTGGAGTGAGTTTTAACGCTCATTTTATGGCTGCCAAGAAGGCTGCTGAGGAAGTTGGTTCTTCCTTACTTGTGCTTGAGTCGCCTTTCGCGAAGTGCATCATAGACGGAGATAGTGAAAGTGATTTGGACACAGGGGTAGAGCAGGTGGTGGAATCAGGAAATGGATTTCGAGGTGCTTTTGGTTTTCAGCCAAGTTATTTGGTTCCCGGAAGAAATATGGTTTCTGTGAGGTCGAGGGGTTTTTATGTTACGAATGATGTTCAGTCCCAAATGGTGAAATGGCTGTCTACGAATTTGGTTCAGCCAAGTACCATTTCGAAACTCAGTAGTGAAGATGTTAGGCCTCTAGTTGATTATGAGGCTCCGCAGTTTGCAAAATCTGTCTATCCATTGCTTGTTGATTTGCATGACATATTTGTTGACATCCCCTCTATGGGAAGGGCTCTGGCTTGTTCTCAGAAAATTCTTAGTGACGTTAACAAGGGAGAAATTGTTGATTCCCAGCTCCTATCTGAATTGTACTTATTCCGTGTTGCTGTTGAGGGGCTGAGAATGGCCTTGAATAATGCTGGCCGGCTTCCTTTGAGCAAAATAGGAGACCCTATCTTGGCTAACACAAAGTTCTACGATCTTCCTGTAGAGGATCAGTCACATGCTATTCTTGCACAGGCTCTTCATAGCCCAACTAAGAAGTTCAAATCAATAGTTGCAGTAGTTGATGCTAGTGCCTTAGCTGGACTAAGAAAACACTGGAACACCCCTGTTCCTCCAGAGGTTAAAAGTACAGTTGAAGAGCTTATAACTAATTGTGGAGATAATGAGGAAATCCCACACCGGTGTAAGCGCTTGTTGGCTGATAAACCTGTGGTGGCAGTTGGGGCAGGTGCAACGGCAATTTTTGGAATCTCTTCCCTCTCTAAAGTCATTCCCGCATCAACTTTTATCAAAATTGCAACCTTCCATGTCCCAAGTTCACTAAAACTTATCTTGACTCAAACACAAAAGGCCATTTTTTTTGCACTTGGCAAGGGTCTTGGTCCAACAAAAGTGGTAGCCCCAGGATTGAGTTCTGCACTGAAAAGTTCTACCCTGAAGGCTGCTGTGTCTGCTGAGAAAATCCGTGCCATATCTCACGGTGTTATAGCGTCCGCAGAGAAAACTAGTCTTTCTGCCATGAGAACAGCTTTTTATGAAATAATGAGGAAACGACGAGTCAGACCCATTGGAGCTTTGCCATGGGCTACCTTTGGATGTAGCATTGCTACTTGTACAGGCTTGCTACTTTATGGAGATGGAATTGAATGTGCTGCAGAGTCATTTCCTGTGGCTCCATCAATTGCTAGTTTGGGTCGTGGAATCAAAAGTTTACACCAGGCATCGGAGGCTGTCAGGCAAGTTGAGAGCTCCAGGCTACAAAAATCAATAGTCTCTCCTGTACAGATTTAAGAATGCAAAAATTCAATAATGTAAGAGTTTGATACTGGACTTCAGTGCTTATTATCTTCTTTCTAGTTAAGCTTAAAATGGATTTTGGCAATTTATTCTGTAAATAGAATCCAGATAACTGGAATGCTGTAGGTTACGTTTTGCGATAGTTATTATGTGGGTTGTACACTCATCAAAATTATAAAGAGAGCATGATTTTGTACAGGTTCTTTTTCCTGGGTTTTATTAATTAATGATGCTACATTAGAGGTTCTAGTGGGGATACTAAAGAGCGCACAGTTTCTCACTTTATTTATACACAAGCCCCTACTCTTGACAGTTGCAGTGGAATCTTAAACCATCTATTTTGAATTTTACTGCTGGAGATTCCAATTCGTTCCTATAATTAGAGAATGGATGGTCGACCCACAGGGTGAGAAAATCTTATAATGTGAAGGCCTACAGAAGTATGTACATTTATTGCACATTCATTTTTCAGAATCATTGTGTTGCATATTGGCTATGTTGTCATTTCAGGGAGCTCCAATTGTGGTGGCGTATCTGTTTGTCTATGGATGTATGTGAATGTATAATTGTGTATATAGTAACTCCTTTTTAGGCGTTCAGTTCATAATATAAAATTCTGAATGACAATCGACATGCTTATTGAAAGTTTAATTAGCTTATTAGTTCCAGCTTTAAAGATTCCGGGATGAGCTTGTACTTTTGTTCATAAACCATGTAAATAAGCAACCGTCAGTGCAGGTAAACATACATTTGAAGATAATAAATGCAATTGTTTGTTTAGATAAACTTGCATTTAGAAACATTGAAATAGGGACAAAAAGATTGAAAATGACGAAGAAGAAATATCATTTTTAATTTTTTTTCTTTCCGTGTTATGGCAGAAGATGAATGAAAGCAGGTTATGGAGAAAACGAAGGGATTTTGTATGTTATGTTTCCTTTAATTTTCCTATGTTTTCTAGATAAAAATCTATAGGAGTTTTGGTTTTGTTTAGGTTGGCTGGGCGAGAGTAAGAGTAGTCGTTTGATTCTTCATTGTGGGTTTCATTTTCACTGAAGGAAGCCGGTAGCAGTTGCATAACATGAGCACGATCAGGTTGTGATTCATTTACTTTTTTCTTTTCCTCCACCAGAGTAAAATCTCTCGGTAAAACAAGAAATAAGCTTGTTCTTTCATCTTGTCTCCTTTCAAGTAATTATTGTTTGTTGGGATAGACAGTGGAATAGGTGACAAGAACGTAAATACACTCATTCATGTGTAGAAGAGTGAAGGATGGTACCTGTTGAGGATAGAAGAATATTCTTAAAGCGAAGCCGTGGCAGGATAAGAACAAGGTCAGTGATGGGATGTGATTGATTGGTTTGTTGGAATATTTCGTTAGGGATGTGACCGGGTTGTGCTATTGTAAGTGGGAAGAGGAATAGAGAGAGAGAGAGAGAAGAATGAGGCGCTGTATGGTAAGATATCTCGAGTCTCCATTGAAGGTTAAAATCAAATTTTCTGTGTAGTAGTATTCTAAGAACGAAAAGTGTTTGTCCACCTGATACGTGATGCATCTTGTTGCCTGAAATTGTATCAGCATTGACAGATTTCTTAGGTTGAATTCTCGATCGTCACGTCTGTCCCAAGAGTCCCGGTATCGGTCTCGTCCACCAGGGCAAGGCAGTGGAGCTGGACAAAAAGGCTACTTGGTGCGGTTATTGTCTAGCTTTAATTTTACCAAGTGACTATTTATATAATATTAACTAACTTCAGCGACTGAAGAAGTTAAAAAATACTTTTGTCCTACTTGAAATTTCCTACAAACTTCATATATCATTTCCGAAATCAACTCGTGTGGCAAAGGAATTGAAAGCTGGACTCCTCCACATCATATTAGACATTATTTTTACCGACATTGCTGTTTGTGTGACATTAATTTACTTTTTCTCAAAAAACAATACTCGGTGATTAATTAAGTTTTTTAAAAAACTTTGAGGTCCAACTTGAAATATCGCACAAACTTCAATGAGTATTTATGATATTAACTCCACAAAGAAAACACAGGCGATCAATAAATATTGGGCAAAATAAATGTGCAATGAGAGTTAACTAATAATTGGATTTTTAACCGTCAAACAAATGTATCGAATTCACCACCCATCATAGAAAGTTGCTTCCTACAAAGAATTAAGCTAAATGAACATAATTCTTGACATAGGGGTTAACCGACCTCTCATACTGTATGTGGGTCCCAACCTGAATTAAATAATGCCGACATCCCCCGTGTGTGCATTGTGTCATCCCCTATGTCAACCATTATGTTTGTGTAGCAAAATTCTTATTTTAGAAGGCTATAACTTATAATGTATTCCTCATGGTCATTTTTATTTCCACCCTAAATAAAAATAATATCAAAATAATATCATAAAATCATTCGAGTGTAGCACGACGATAAGCTTGTTTGGGAGGGATTTTTGGGAGAAGAATTGATTTTGAATAGTGATATGGTGGGAAATGTGTGGTTGAAAAAGAAAAAAAATTATTGATGTGATGGAAAATATTATTTTATTGAAGAATGTGATTTGGGGAAGAATTGATTTTTGAATAGTGATATGATGGGAAATGTGTGGTTGAAAAAGAAGAAAAAATTATTGATGTGATGGAAAATATTATTTTATTGAAAAATATGTGGTTGAAAATGAAAATTGATTTACTGTAGAAAAATCTAAATCCCGCATGAAAAATTCCCTCAATTACTTGATATCGTACCCATTTTTAAATGATCGAATTGATCTTCTATTTTAATATTGTTTGGCATTCAAATAGTGGATAAGTGCTCGTACAAGAACTGTGTCAATCTAGTTCAACTAAAAGAAATGAAAGCCTTGCTAGTTAGATTAACCCCTATGTCAAGCATTATGTTCATTTAGCTTAATTCCTAAAATAATTTCAAGGTGATACTAAAAATAATCAAATTAAACTTTCAATATAATTTTCTTTTGCATAAAGCCTACTTTTGCAAAACTTAACCCAATTTTATGTTAATGAAGAAATAGTAGCTTATAAAAATCCGCATATTCTCTCCTGAATTCGATCTTCTACGTGCCAGCTGAATCTTTTTTTTTTTTTTTTGCAGATGCTATATGTAAGGCGTTGTTCGAAATTCGTTGAAATTTTGTTTTTCCTTTTAAAATCCAACAAATAAATCCACAAAAATATTGAAAACAAGAAAAAATGGAAGATGGAAAATTCACTATCAATGCAGAGGATCTATCAACAATCGGAGGTATAGCTACTGTGTCACTGCTGCATTCCTTTATACCAACCCATTGGCTGCCCTTCTCCATTGTTGGTCGCGCTCAGAAATGGACGCTGTCTCGTACTCTCGTCGTCAGTAAGAATTTTCCTTTATAAAATATCGTATTGCTTTTGTAACAAAGTTGTTTGTATGTATATATTTATCATGTCGTGTCAATTGGTAACGTGATTTTGTATGAGAGAGGCAAAATGGTCATTTGGGTTTTAGTTATCTCGAATAATTTTGGCTGCCTGGTGAGATCTAGCTGTACATTTCTTGATTAAATCTTGATGGGAAATTTTAAAAATGATTAAAATAGTTTCCATTAGCTGTTTATAACCTCTATGATTTAGTATTTTGATGAACATTGATTTGCTTATGCTGAGATATGAAAGACTAGAAAGGCAATGAGTTCGATCAGGTTTCTAGAATAAAAAAGGTTTGCTAGTAAATTTTGGGTGTTGGATATGATTACATATTGTTTGCGGCTGCATCTGAGACGTATCTGAGATGTAGAGTCACGAGAGTATCTTGAGATAAAAGCCCTATTGAATCTTCCATGTGCGTTCGGGTTCTGCATGTTGGATGATTATTGATTAGCAGAGGAAAGTTGTACATTGAAGCCAGTATGTGGTAAATCTGAAACCAAATAATTTTTAGTGGTTTTGTTAACAACAGATTTTAGGATAAACAAATCACACGGTTTTCAACTTCCTCGAAAAATTCAATTGCATAAACAATTCTCCTACCATCTGTTCCGTATTTAAGTGATATTCGGCCAAGGTTGTCTTACATGCATCCAACTTTTCGACTGTATTTTGTGTTTATAGATCTGAAGGATTAGTGGTGGTTCATGCTTCTACTTTGACAATACCATGATAGTTTATCAGTTTAACCAATGTATAAATGTATGCATTGGGATCTTTTTTTATTCCCCACGCTTAGGGGTTGTATGACAATGCCTTTTTTAGAAAAGTTTTAGCTGATTTTGATAAGAGTTCATGAAATGTGTGGTTGAAAAACTGATCTTAGTTGTGGGTTTTCTCAAATGTGTGGTTAAAATTGAAGTTTGAAAAGTTGAAAAAACTTTAGCAAATTTATCAAACAATTGTTAAGTCCAAATCATGGTTATAAATAATGAAATAAGAAACCATTACCTCCCTATTTAATGCTAAAAACAGACTCTTGGAGAGGTTTATGCAAATATGAACAGAACTTTAATGTATTTCGAATTACATTTTCATAGGAAAATATTCAATCTTTTAACCATGATTGCCAATTTTCCTCCATGGAGAACTTAGATTGATTCAAACACAGTTTTTCATGAACTGTATCATCTATGAATAAGGTCACTCAAGAGTTTCCCTTATATGGAGAAGCACTTCACTGTCGAATTACTAAATAAGGAGCAAACGGCCTAAATCAGGATGTGACTTACAAATAGTAAGATAATGGTTCGCTATCTTCCAACATCCTCCACTAAAAGCTATTTTGTCGTCCTCCCCATCAGTCAATTTAAGGATGAAGTACTCGTGGCCCAGGCCCCAGGTCAATTAAGTCAATCTTCTGTTGAGCTCCACATTATGGCAATTTTCTCACAGATAAATTTGCGCCACATAGTCTTAACCAGACCCTCACCAAGCATTTAGGCTACAAAATATGCTGGCAGCTTTAGGTATACATTTTCAATTTAAATGAACTTATCAGCTTGGGATTGCTTTTAACCCACCTAGACTTGATTTAATCTTCATTGATTGCATGAAACACTCTAGGCTTTAAAAACCTATTTACAACTTTGGCAGCCGATAGAAATATGATTGGAAAGATGTATAGTTTTTTAACATTTTGGAATGTTGTAAAATATGGAATTGGCCATGCTGTGTCTCTGATCTCTTATTCTCCTAATGAATTTTGTTACGTGATAAAACATAGTATTTAGATTCTAAATTTTGGTACACGTTTGATGCCAAACCGAACTAGTCCCAATGTTGTCATCTAAAGCCCTTGTACTCTTTCCTTGAATGCCATTACATCTGTGTAGCCTAAATTGAGTACAAGGTCATCAAATGATACCAATGTGTTCTGTGACTATGTTTCTTGCTCAAGTAGTTGTGATCTTTGCTAATGAATTATCTGATGCAGCTGCATTTGGAGCAGTCTTGCATGTGATGTCTACTGCGTTGCTTGGTATAACTGCAATTACCATAACAAACACTATTGCGGGCGAGGAAACTGTGCATAAACTTGCATCTTTACTGCTCATAGTTCTTGGTGGTGGTTATATCATACTTTTTCTATCTGGAAAGGGCGGTCACAGCCATTCCCACAACCAACCCATGGAAAAAATGGCAGTTGCTGGACTTGTTCTCGTCCCTGCATTGTCTCCTTGTGCAACCACTCTTCCAGTATTTCTTGCTGTTCGAAACTCATCCTCTATGATGGTGTTTGCAATCATAGTTCTGCTATTCAGGTATTTTTTTTCACTGTATAAGTTCTAGCTCTTTCTTCTTCTTCTTCTTCTGTTTTTTTTTGAAATATCATCATTGAATTCTATAATAATTGATAATTCACATCTGGGTATGAATAAAATTAATAAATCAAGATCTGAAATGGTAATACCCCTATATTTAGTGTTTTTCTTTGGTCGTGATAATATGCAACACATTTGGGTCATGATAATGTGGTCCTTCAGCTATTTTCCATCCTTTCTAATTTCTATTGTATGGGCACTGTTTTGTGATTATTATTTTCCTTTTAACTATATGGAGTTGTTGTTTTGCTTTTAGCGGTTAAATATGGGTTTCTGTTGAAGCACTTGATTGGAATCTTAAACTCTTAGAGAGGGTAACATGTATATCTTCATTTTTCTCAATTAAATTCTCACACGTGCACATTTCAATGAATCGGTGGCATGGAACTTGAATCCAAGACCTTTATCTGTTTTGAAGCACTTGATCTTAAAGCTCAAGTTGTTAGAGATTTTGAGCAAATCGAATCTCTGCTTGAGATCTATTTGCTGAGGAAGAGACTAAGTTTGAAAACTGTATCATTTAAATCTTGTCCTCAACATGTCTCCTCAAATGCAAATGGGGTTCTTATTTTTTCCAATAAGCATGACACGTACACAATTTCATTAAATGGGTTGTAGCAAGACTGGAATCTGGGACCTTCGCTGCCTTTGAACCCCTTGATGTAAAATTTTAAGCTGTTAGAGAGGTCACACGTACGTTTTTTAAATCATGTTGAATCTTCAACAGTTGCATTATACATCCTTTTACTTTTCTAAATCCTATTATAGAATGTCTGGAAAACACTGAAATAGAACAAACTTTACTGGCTTCCATCTAGGTTCAAAAGCCAAAAGTTGCATGTCTCAATTTTGAAGATAGCTTTTGAAAATGTTTATAGATGTTGGGTGGACTTAGTTTTGCAGATCATGTGGTTTGGATTGAAGGACGGGTACTGATTTTTAATGTTAATGAAGGCTGCAATAAACAGTCTACATTCAGTGATTCAAGGCGTACTGCTAGCTCTACTACCATTAAAATTTGTATTCACATTTGCATAGTTACAGTCATGAATATGTATGCGTGCTCGTGTGTATGTATATATTTTCTATTAATGTTTCTCAAAATTCCTGAGGCTTGACATAGGACTATGATATTGGACTTGCAGCACAATAATTGTGATGACGTCATTGGTGGCTTTATCATTTTATGGTGCAAGTCAGCTCAAATTCCAATGGGTGGAACGCTATGACAAGCTTCTTGTAGGTTCAATTCTATGTTTGGTTGGAGTTTTGACCCTCCTCTTCCATGACCATGATGGAGATGTGAGTTCCATTGGAGAGCATTTGCACAGGAAACTCATTGTTCTATAAGAATTAACTTATAACTTAGGATTCTTGAGGTTCTGTTTTACTGAGAGTATAATTTAGCATACGTACGTGCAGGGCCGGTTTTGGGCAGAGGCAAGTGACGCCCATGCCTCAAGCCCAAAAATTATAGGGGCCTCGGATTTTTTTTTTTTAATATAAAATTGACAAAATCATTTCAAAGCCTCATTCATATACCTTCTGTGCGTGCCAGTGAGAATAGCCGAAACCCATCGTCTACCTTGGGCGCTTGACCTCGTATTTATCTGATTATTTGAACTCTGGTTGGTTTTGTTACTTTATAAAATAAATCTTTTTGTTGTTTTACTATTAAGTTTTAAGTCAACAATATGTTGCATAATATACCGTTGGATTTTGTATTTACGTTGATTTTGGGGGCCTAATTTATGGAGTTCGCCTTGGACCTCGAAAATCACAGGACTGACCCTGCGTACATGTCAATGCTGAGGAAGCAATGTTTATGTAAAACATTCGTTTTCTCTGCAGTCTGATAGTTACTAAAAATCGTAGCTCGCGTGGTGTATGTACTTTTTTGCCATTGTTGTGAGGTCGGAGTGACCACAGGCAATTTTTGTGGTGAAGAATAGATTTAAGATACAGTTTGTGCCTAACTGTTGTAAGTACAATGATCATATACTATGTGGTTCCTTGATTGCTGCATCTTATGGTTGCTCTCTTTGTTCTGTTAAAATTCTAGAATTTCATATTAATATGATGAACAAATTACATCAAGCATTATGAAAATTACAGAGACCTGCTCTTTATTTTCAAAAAAATTCAGGTTTACTTTTGGAAACATATTTCCAATTTATTTTCATTTTACTCTCTTGTTCTATTGTGAAATTATTATTTTATTATATTTAATTGTATTTTTTTCTTTTTTTTATTATAAAGATATACATTTTTGTACTTTTGAGTAAATGAGATCCATTTAATTAAAAAATGCATACCTTTTGAATATGGTCATTTTTATGTTTTCTAGTATGACTTAAAAAAATTAAAAAGTCAACATAAATAAATATTTTAGAATAATTTTAAAATTTTAATTGAAAATTCATTAAGTATATTATGGCATTTTTTCTAACTAATATTTTTTACAGGGTAATTAGCACGTAACGTTCTTACATTTCATTGTTATTGTGGAAAACGTTCTTACTTGTAATTATTTTTGGTATTTTCACTTTTATTTTTACCTTTTATTGCACAAAATATCATTTTCATCCAATTTTACAATTATGTTTAAATAAAAGAAAAAGAAAGAACTAATTGTAATCATAGTCCCAAATTTAAAAAAAAAAAGTGCAAAGAGTCCAAATAAATTATTAAAATGGTAATTAGCACACAATGTTACTATATTTTACTATTATTGTGAAAAATGTTCTTACCTTCATTTTTTTAGCATTTTCACATTTAATTACACATTTGATTACACAAACCATCATTTCTATCATTTTCCATCCAAATTATCAATAAAAAGATGTGAAATGACGAATATATCTTCATATTTAAATAAAAAAATAATAATTAATTGAAACTATATTCTCAATTTTTTTAAAAAAGTGCAAACAAGTATCGAATAAATTATTAAAAATTAATTTTTTTAAAAAAAGTTTAAATAAGCGGCAAATAAATTATTAAAAAATTAAAAATTAAAAAGTGCAAACGAGTCTTAAATAATTTATTAAAAATAAAAAATAAAAAATATATATTTTTAATATTTTTCTTTATATTTATTTAAATAGGAATGCATATTCATTATTTCACAGTTTTTATTGAGAAATTTGATGAAAATAAATAAAAATGATGGCTTGCGCAATCAAATGTATAATTAATGGTAAAAATGCCAAAAAATGAAAGATATAGACGGTTTTCACAATAATAGTGAAAGACAGATATTATGTACTAATTACTCTTTTAATAATTTATTTGAAATCGTTTGTACATTTTTAAAAAATTGGGACTATTATTGTAATTAGTTCTTTCTTTTTCTTTTTGTTTTATTAAAATAGAAGGGTATATTCGTCATTTTACAATTTTTAATTGAGAAGATAGATGAAAATGAACTTTTGTGTAATGAAATGTGAAAATAAATGATGAAAATACCAAAAAATAAAAGATAATGACGTTTTCCACAGGAATAGCGGAAGATAAGAACGTCATGTACTGATTATTTACATTAGAAAATTGCAGTAATATTATCTTATCTTCAAATTTGCAAAAAGTCGGCATCAAAAGTTAATAGCTTATTTTTTATTTCTCATCAAACAGAGACTTGTACACGAAGAACACTTGCCAAATCGGACCGCGTAAAAGTAACGCTTTTCAATTACAGCTTTTCTTACTTCAAAATAATTATAATTACAGAGAAGACTTCTCTAGCCGAAATTTGTGGGAAAAATTCCTAGTAGAAATGGTGAAGTGGGGTCCACAATCCACGCAATGCTCTCTTGTCATCCTGTGCACCTTTTCAATTGCATGCAAACTCAGGACAAATCCTCTCTCTACACTGTGTGTTATGCCTTTTTCATTTCTGACAAACTGTCATACACGCACAATCTTGAAAAGTTTTTCTCTGAAAAATTCTCATATCATACGGGTTGTAAAGTTTTAATCTTCTCTGAAATTCAAGAGTTTTCTGCACCGTTAACGTCAGTTTGATTTCCGGTCTCAGATAAGCTTTCTCAGGTAAAAATCTGATATACAAGAACGCTGTAGCCCATAATTTTCTTTTTAGTTTAAATTTTCAGAAGCCTTTGTGAGTTTTGATGTGGGTTCAATTCAGTTATGTTGATTTGCTGTGGTGTTCTGAATCTTGATTGACTTGAGTGAATTGGAGTTTTGATCTTTTTTATTTTCTTTTAGTAATCTGATTGGCGTCGATTAATTTGTGAGCTAGATTCATTAGAATTTTGATTGTTTTGATTTTCAATTTCGGGGATTTTTCGGGTTTTGGATTTTAATTTCCATGGCCGTCTGTTTCAATTAACTTTCACGGGCTTCTTTATGTTTTTATGATGCATAATTTATTTTCTTCTGGAATTGAATTTTCGTCTTGTTCGACTTTATTTATTATTTTTGTTGATTTTGATTGTTATTCATGAACTTGTGTGGTATTTCCCTTCTAATTGTATGAGTTTTCCGAATTGATTGATAATTCAAGGTTTCTCAGTTTCAAAAACTATGCTGTGATTTGAAAGACTATTACTTTTATTGCTTATGAATTGTGCTTAATCTCTTTCTATCATCATCATAAATTCCTTCCTTTTATTGATTGTTGCGAGATTTTTCATGGGTATCTTTGCTTTTTTCTAAGCGAGCTGAATTCGTCACGATTTTGTTCATGTCATGTATATGGATCTTCTTGTCGTATCTGTTGCTTATGTCTCTTGGCAGAAAACAAGCATGGGGATATGGTTTTAGATGATGAAACAGAATCGAGTTACTATTTTGGTGCTATTAAACTAATACTTCTTTAAGAACTGTCCTTCTACGGAAAGACTGTATTTTTCTTGGTTGATTGTATTCTGTCTTAATTTAAATAAGTTCTGCTATGTTTCTCAGCAAAACTTTTCTGGTGTCATTTAATGGATTAGGACGCGTGGTACTGGGATTCTCCTAATTTGCTCCTGAACTTTTCACATCACCAAGAATCTCGTATGCTGATTTGGCCATCATTCAATGGGGGCTTCAAATTCTAGATTGGAAGAAGACAAGGGCCTACAGCTTTGTCGTGAGCGAAAGAAATTAATCAAACAAGCACTTAATGGTAGGTGTTCTCTAGCAGCAGCTAATATTGCTTATATAGAAGAATTGAAAATCATAGGAACTGCTTTGAGGAAATTCGTTGAACCTGATTCCCAAGTTGAATCGTCCATCCATATTCCAACAAGTGCGACGCAGGAGCCACACTCATTGATTGAGAGGTCTGTCTCCCAGTTTTCACTTTCCTCTCGGTCTCTGTCCCAACATGTGGATACCACTATGAATAAATCACCATCTCCTTCACCTCCGATCACAAGTCAAAACCAGGCTCATCATATGAAATTTAGAGGTACATTTTCCAAGAAAGTTGAAGAAAAGATTTCTCTGCCTGTCACAGTATCAGTTGCTTCGACTACTCCTCGTTCCACTGAAGGACCTGAAGCATTATCATTTGAAACACCTTCCATCCCGTCAGAAACTCCACCATGGGATTATTTTGGTCTTTTTCATCCAATTGACAATCATTTTTCTTCACAAGAAAGCAGGGGTTTTGATCAGGGTTCAGAGTACCTTGGAGAGATTAATGAGCTCAGGGAAGATGAGGGAGTTCCTGAATTGGAAGATGTAGAAGAGAAGGTCTCCTCACCTGTAAGGCTAGAATCTCATGAATCAGAAGATGAATTTGATGAACCTACTACTGAAACACTTGTTCGAAGTTTTGAAAATGTGAACAGGGCAACAGAAAATGTTGTCAATAATGATGCACTCACTATGCCCTCAGACACTGTAGTATCAGAAACCAAGTCTGGGGGTGAACAAGTTAATGGGGAAAATGAAAATTTTATGAACGGCGATACACCTATTATGTCCACAGAGAGTGCAGCGTCAGAAACCAAGTTTTCGAATGTGAAGAAAAATAACTCTCCCGATTTATCACCATTAAGAGCCACGTCTTCAAGATTTGAGCATTTGAATTATGTGAAGATTACACCAATGAAAGAATCCGAGGTAGAAGATACAGCTGCACCTAAGGACTTCTTTTCGAGCATGAAAGATATCGCGCATTTATTTGATAAGGCATCTGAATCTGGAAAAGAAGTCCCCCGGATGCTTGAAGCAAACAAATTCCATTTTCGTCCAATTTTCCCAGGGAAAGAACGTAATATCTCTCTTCCTCTCTCTCCCTGTCTCAGTCAATGACACACATGATCTCTCTTATATATGCTTCTATGGGTTTTTAGTATTCGTTTAGAGCAGTAGTTAATTTTCCAGGTTTGCAGTGAAATTCAATTCCAATTTTACTACAATAAGATAATTGATGTACCACTTTTATAGGATTCATCTTTAATGCATTGTAGAGAGACACGAATAATTTGCTGCTCAATCATTTAGATAAGATTGAATCTTGCTCTTATAAATAAAACTGGGAGGAAAAGAAAGGCCATTTGTTTTCGTCACATAGTTATATTTTTATTTTCTCGTATAATGAATATGTGAAAGTTCTTCTTGTTGCCTTTTCTGGATATTGTTTTTTCTTCTGTACAAGCTTATTAAGGAAATATTATGTGGCAGGTGGATCAATGACCTCAGCATTACTGAAATCATGTTTCTCTTGTGGGGATGATCCTAGTGAGGTTAAGGAAGGTAGGTCTATCCATCTTAATTCTTTTAGAGCATTTTGTTAGAGACTGTGGTATCAGATACTTGGTGGTGACTGTCTGTAAATATGGCATCTTCATCTTTTTTGATGGGAAAGAACAGCAATGAATCAGTGCATAATTCTAAGTTTTTAGTCTGCTAAGTGTTGTAAGTTCATTGTTAAATTTGACCCTGCTTATATCCAATAAATAGTAAGTTAGGTACAAGGTTCCCTTCAACTACCTTCAAAACACCGGGAATTGGCTACTTACCTACTCAGTGACTTGAGAAGCTTAAAAAGATTAGAGAAAAATGAAGTGCTGGAAGATAAAGGAAGAAATATATGGAAAGGTGATAATAACGTATGTATCTTATCTAAGAGGCTTGAACCTTCAAAACTAAAAGAACAATGTAATCTTGTTGCCTGTGACACCCTATAGAGAGAAACAGCCAAGCAAGTTATATAGTGGCTACCTTTTCAGTTGCTAAAATATCCTCAGTGGAGTGGATTGTGACATCACATAGTTTTGTACTGTCTTCAAGATGTCTGTCACTTAACCAAGTCTTGGATGATCAATTCTCTCTCAACAAACTTAGAGTCCTTTCTCACCTCCCAATTTTCTTTGATGATATTTTACTAGGTCAGACTTTTGGTATTAGACAAGATGCCCTCATTTCTCTGGCCTGTTTGCGTTAACCTACGCTTTATGAAGCAGCTCGGCTTTAGAACGTGAACAATGCTTGTTGATAAGGAGTTGACCTTATAGATATACATCCACATATCATCACGAGTCATGAACATTTTGTATCTCTTATTCGAAGGTTGCTATTATACGGGTTTGTAAATATGGTAGGCACTTACCAACAAATTAGACCTTATTCCCAATAACTTTAGGGTCAGTTAAATCAATCCCTTTCCACTCTATTCATTGCTAGATCTAGTGGGAGATCTAAAGAAACTAGATTATTAACAACTACAACAAGTGATATTAATTATGGTCTACCCCCCCCCCCCCCCCCCCCCCCCCCCCCCCACCCCCCCCCCCCCCCCCCCNTCTACCTAAAACGCGTCACTTTTAGCACGGAGACATCTTCAGGTCGATGCAAAACCACGACTTAACCACCTAAGTCATCATTCCCTTAATTTATCCTCAATTTGTGCCACCTCGCCTTGTTGGAATTTATTCTCATTACCTTATGCGTTTTAATATGATCGCACCTCCACCTTAGTATCTTCATTCGCTACATTAATCTTTGAATATAACCTGTAACAACCCAGCACTCATAACCACAAAGCACTAGACTGATGTAGAACTTACATTTTAACATCGATGATATCTTCCTATCACATAAATTTCCCATAGCGCATCTCCATTTCATCCAACTCACCCTAATCCTATGCATTACATCCTCCAAAAGTAGAGTTACCATATAAGAAAATGGATGAACTCGTGACATTGCTCCTTAATTTTCTGCCAAAAATTCGACTTTTGATGTATTTCATGCCTCATATCACTTTTACATTTAATTCTTTGCTGATCTTATAATCATTAACAAATTCTGCAAAGGAAAAGGCATTTGGCACAGATTTAATTATTAACTATTATTTCGGAGTTGATTGATATGGTCGTGGAATCTTATAGAATCTTCGTGCACAATATGGAATGATTACTTATGTCTTCTATTCATTTATGGGATTCTTATATGGTTTCAATTGCTTTGTCTAGAGCCTCCTCAAACTTCTGTGAAGTACTTAACTTGGCACCGGACCATGTCACCTCGTTCAGCTTCATCTAGGAATCTTCTAGGCTTGAACTCTGTAGATGATGGTGAGGATATTGCTAATAATCTCTTTGACAACTTCTGTATGGTCTCTGGAAGTCATGCCTCGACCTTGGATAGGTTATATGTGTGGGAGAAGAAGCTTTATGACGAGGTTAAGGTATGGTCAGTGTTCGAGTTTGCACTAGTACATATAATAATAAAAAATATGAAATTAGTTTTTGGCAGGCGCCGGGAATTACTTTCTGGCGGTTTGAGTTTTGCACTTGTACTTGACAAGCTTATATTACTTTTCGCTGTACACATGTGTCACGCGGTTCTGGATGTAGCGTTAATTTACCATTGGTTTCTCAAATGAAAAACTGGCTGTTAATAGGAAAAAGTATGAAGCTCGTATTTCAAGATGCCCAGTGATTTCTCCTTTGCATGAATGAGAGAATGTTTCAATATTTTTCTTGCTTAACTCATTCAAGCTAGTTTTTGCACACTTGGATGGTATTTTTTTGGTCAATTGTATCTGTGACAAAGACTACTCAACTGTAATTCTTTATTTGCTACATCATATTATGGACACAAACTGATGGTTTTCTTAATGTATGGTCAATGTGTGGATTATGTTCCATTGATTTTAGCTTCATATACTTCTACAGTTGAGTTTTCATGTTCCTGACCAGTAAAACAATATGTTTCAGAAGTTTGATAATTTATTTGCGTAATATTTATCTGAAAATGAGTAGAGGAAATCAACTGATACCTGATACTCCTTTTTCAGGCTGCTCAGGTGCTTAGAAGTAATTTTGATCAGAAGTGTAAAGTTCTTAGACAGCAAGAATCACAAGGAATGAAAACTGACAAAACACGTGCTGTAGTCAAGGATCTGCACTCAAGAATTAGAGTTGCAATTCACAGAATTGACTCAATATCAAAGAAAATAGAAGAAATTAGAGATACGGAGCTTCAGCCACAACTTGAAGAGTTAATTGACGGGTATGTATTTATCATTGGCTTTTGCTGTTTATTTGATTAATTTGTCACTGATATTCATCAGGAATATTTGAGATTAATTCTGAACTTCATAAATTTGGAAGCATCCAAGTAGAAATATAGAAACAGGGTATGTCTTCTAACATAGAGGAGCTCTATTTATGAGTCCATCCCATCTAGAGACTCAATTCATACTTTTTATCACATGCAATTAGTTGTTGCAGGGATAATCTAACATGTATGGGTTACTAAAAACTCACTTTCAAGTAGCTTTTTGTTTCCAAACATTTGAGATAAGTCTCTTTCTTTTTCTTAATGCAAGTTGTTCATTTTCACAGCAGGTTAAAGTTATTTTCAAAATAAGTGACTTGCTTAACTTTGACCAATAAAAAGGTATTTATTTTCAAAATTATTTACTTGTACGAGAACTTATAAGTAATTTTTTAAGATTAGCCAAATGTGCACTAATTCTGGGCATGATCTTTGTACATGAGTGGCTCTGCGATCACTATCAATCCTCAGCTCAGGTTGCCTTATTGTAGCATTTTACATACACGATCATTCCTAACTTTTTTAGAAGTATTGAAATTTGATAAGAAAACTACTATCTTGTTGATTCTTTTTTGATTTCATGTTTATACCATAAAATTTGATGACGTTAGTTTGTCTTTCTTGCTTCCAATTCGAATTTATGATTACCCTTATTTCTTGTGGTGTTCTACCTATTAAGCTTCAATGAAGTACAAATGATTTGATAGGACAAGAACAGTTTGTTGCAAAGTCCAGAACTCTAATATAATGTTGTCATTGAAAACTGATGATTGAGTTAAGGTCTAGTTGTTCTTATTTTCACCTTTCCCTCCATAAAAGAGCAGTCAACCAATCAGTTATTCTCAGAGACGCCCTGAGATGTACTTTGGATTTCTCTGAGAGACGTGATTTATAAGGTTAAAGAACATCCAATTTGAAATGACCTTTCATTCCATGATTTTCTTTCTATTGCATTTGATTCGATAGAGACGTAAAGATGGTCTGTGTACAGAAACCCTTAAAAATTGTTTACATCATTACATGACGACGACTACTATTAGCAGTCTCAGAATATCCAGGATCATAGAAACATTTTCCCTAATTTTTAGAAATTTTTTATCTGGCTTTGCTTATTGATATCATATGCTTTACTCTTCTTGTTACTGATAGACTGAGGAGAATGTGGAACATGATGCTTGAATGCCACAAGCTTCAGTTTCACATCATATCAGTATCTCATGCCCCTCCTCGAAGCACAAAGTTTTCTGTACAGTCAGATTCCCGGAAACAGATTACTATCTATCTCGAAAATGAACTGAACTCTCTAATGTCGAGCTTTAGAAAATGGATTGGTGCCCAGAAAATATACGTGGAATCTATAGATAAGTGGCTGTTCAAGTGCGTCTCTCTTCAGCAGAAAAAGTCAAAAAGGAACAAAAGGATGAGGCCCCCACCTATAAGAAACTGTGGCCCGCCCATATATATCATGTGTGGTACCTGGTTGGAGATGATTGACAAATTGCCTTCGCAAGAAGTCGTGGAATCTATCAAACATTTGGCAGCTGAAGTTGCTCATTTTTTACCGCGTCAAGAGAAGAACCAAAGGAAGGGTGGAAATCACTCTCTTTTGAGTACCTTCCAAGCTGGAACCAATGATGACAATTCAGGTATTAATATGCCGAGAGACGAAGCTTCCGAGGATTGGATATCCGGTTCTGATCGGTTTCGTACGAGCTTGGCAGGGTTTCTTGGCCAATTAAACAACTTTTCGGAGTCTTCTGTGAAAATGTTCAGTGATCTCCAGAAGGTCATAGAAGAAGCAAAAGAAAACTACCAACAATTCAAGTCTCAATCTTGAAATTTATATTGTCCAAATTATAGTACAGACTAAGATTTTCGGTATGGCTGCAAATACTGGATTGGGTACATATTGAAAATAAGGAAGAAATAATCTCTTAGGAATATAGGGACAGATTGATTATGGCGTCAGATTTATGGAGCAAAAGAAATAATAAGGTAAAATCTTGGGACTTTCTTTCAATGTTCAATTGTCAGATGGAAATAAAGGGGATGCATAGAGCATGTATTTAATACTTATACAGGTGTGAGCATTATGTTGGGAAGTTATAGGTTTATGATAACTGTAAAATTTCTGGACAAGTGTATGTTTTGTAGTTTGATTTTGCATGTTCTGAATGATAGTGTATTGTACTTTTAGAAATGCATTATAGAAATGTTGATTCGAAAGACCTGTGTAATGATTTTCGAGGCATGTCTGTTGTTATTTTTTTCGTGGAATCAATCGTTTCATTATCCTATATTAGAGTAATGTTATTCATATTACTGGTGCATGTGGCAATGGTTCCCTCATTTATTGTTCATGTATTTTGATCCCCTTGTTTGATCTTCATTTATTAGAATTCGTTTCCAATCAAATTTTATGTGATCCATAACTTTTATCAACTTTTCAACCACAAATTTTCATCAATTTCTATCGAAATTCCCCAAAAATCTAATTTTTAACGAAATCAGATAAGGGTTAAACAATAAATTAAGGGATCAATAGTCTCCTGGACTGATGATATCTATTGAGGATGAATAATATTATTTCCTAAATAATGTGTATTGTACTTCTACAAATGAACTTCCTATGGTTGTAGCAAAGTAGATTTTCGTTGCTTAAGGATGAATTAGATGATCAAATTGAGAAAGATACCATATATATATATATACACACACACACACACACGCAATCTCTAGTCATGTGACCTGATTTATCACACCTAAAGCAAACATTCTTCCACATCAAACCCTCTCCTTTATGCTGCTTGTCACACTTAAGATAGGGTGGAATGATGTTAAGATAGGTGGAATGATGATAAGATCTATATCAACCCTATCCTTGCTAGCATATGCTCTAAGAAGAACAAAGTCTTACTCAAGTTCCAAATCAAAAGCAAAGTTCAAATTTAAGTTTCGAAATTCAAGTCTCAAGCAAGTCAAGTTGTCAAAACAAATTTAATTCAAGCCTTGAAGTTCAAAACTCAGGTCATGTGGCCCTTTTTTCGACATCTAAATGGCCAATAAGAGGATTTTGCGATGTCGCAATTACAAGATGATTAATCCACTTTGTAATTTTCTAAACATTAATCTCTAGCAATTTCTATATTTTTATACACGAATTTTGTTGTACAAATACAAAATCAAAATTGTTTTACAAATTCAATACATAACATTACTTCATTCGTCCCATAAAGATAGATATATTTTTATTTTCACACAGATTAAGTAAATGTAATCAATATAGTTGGAAATATCGATTTTACATACATATTTTCTAATATATTCTTAAATTAAATAGGATTTAAATATGAGTAGTGCATATTTATGGATAACAAAGCGCATTAAATAAGGCTAAATTGAAGAATTAAAAAATTCATTCACTCTTATAAATAGCCCATAAATTGAAATAAACGAAAAAGGAAAATAAATTTATGATAAGAGTAAAATTTTATCTACCATAATCTCACACTATAATGACAATCTTTAGATACAATATTCGATTTGTCGTTAAGTGCATCCACGGTGACGTCACACTTAACCTTGGTTGTAATTTTCCACGTTTTCATGGACCCCACCTTAAGTTTAACGGGTACCTTTTGCCTCACCACCAATGGCACCATATTTTCATTCTGCGCGTTTATTAACGTCGTCTTAACGGCGCTTCCCAGAACTATGTTGGACCCCTTCAACGCCGTTTGAAATACCGTCACGTTGTTCTTCGGCTGGTAAAAAGCAGGAAAAACGCCGTCGCTTAGCTTAACGTCGTTATAAAAAACTTTAACGGCACTGTTTTTTGTATAGTATATGCCGATCTTGTCGTTAGGATTCTCCGCCCTGATACTGACGTCAAATTCCGGTGATATGAAAGGCACTGATGTCAGATTCATTCCTCTTATAACGACGGAGGTTATCGTGTACTTCGGCGCTTCTGGACGGAAGACGAGGTAGAACACTCCGGCGGCAATAGCAGCGGAGACAATGAGTAGCAGTAGGAGGCAGAGAGTGAAATAACAGCAACGGCGGCAGCAGCTACGTTTTTTCCCGCGTGTGAGGGAATGGAATTTCTGTGCGGTTTCAGGTGGTGGATAGCGCAGGATTTGCTCTCTGGGGAGCTGGACTACATAAGTCGACGGAGTCGGCGGCACTGACTTCGAATTAGGCGCTGGTTTAGAAGTGTCTCCGGAGTTCTTCGCCGTGGGCGGTGGTGCGTCGACGTTGGTGGGATGAATTCGCTCTTCCATTCCGGTTAACAGTGTAGAACAGATTCAAAATCAAATTTGAAATTTTTTCTGCGTAAAAATCAATTGTAATAAGAGCTGAGAAAATGGAAGTGTGGGGTTGTATCTATAGTGAGAATATATAGGAATCAATTGAATTGGAGATTTGGAATTGTACGTGAAGATTTAGGCGCCGCGCCGCGTGATTTACGGTTGATTTGCACTAATCGATGCTTAAAATGGAAAACGAATCCGAAATAAAAACAAAACATATTCTTTATCATAGTTTATCTTATAAATAGGGATTCATCGATTGTGTTTTGTTTTATTATAAAAAAAGAGAAACGGGTTAGAGTAGAAAGGGTGCGCGATTTTCTTTTATAAACTTCATTTCATAATAGTAAACTAATGTAACGACGAAAGATGATGTAATCTTATATTAAGACGAACCTCTATAGATTTTGTATGACTATAGTGATTATTTTTTCTTTTTGCGAATTGATTGTTCTCGATGAAATAGAATTAATGTTTCTTGTACTCAATGACAAGTGTAGATTGCTTCTTGAGATAAACAAATAAAGAGAAATTGAAATTTGTTATATGGAGATTGTGTGAATCTTCATTACATGTATGTGAAAGGATTGGAATATGTCGAAAATGATTTAAAATAAAACTAATAAAGTGTTATGAAAAGAGAGAGAAGGAAAAGAGAGTAAAATTCTATATTTATAAGAAAGGATTGGGGATATATTGGTAATAATTTATAGGACGGTAGGGATATAATTGTCATTCACTAATAAACTTATCATTTACAATATTTCTCCTTGAATGACACATTATAAAATATCTCTCTCGTTAAAATCTTATTTTATAAAAATTCAATGGGACAAAAAAAATCAAACAAAGGAAAATGAGTACTATTATTGGAGTATTAAAAATAAATACTATTTCATTAAAACCTTACTAGAAAAAATTCAGCAAGACAAAACCTAAGTGAATGAAAAAGAGTACAGTTATTCCTCTTGATGTTGATCACTGAAAATCATTCAATCAACGCATTCCAATCATGTGAACCAATTTTTTTAATATAGATGTTGGCAGTTCTTTTGTAACTAAATCAGCTACATTCTCATTTGAACAAATTTGTTGAATATTGATGTTGTCATTATTTTGAAACTCATGTTTATGAAAAAAATTTGGAGACATTTGCTTCATATGTCAATTTGATATAGATTCATTTGAGTTGTGCAATACAAGTAGCATTGTCTTCATACAAAATTATTGGACTATTTTTGCTAACTGCTCTATTTTGGTTTGAAATTTTTTATATTAAAATCGAATATCATCACGCTTCAAACATGCCATAAATTCATCAAATATAATATTAACGAATTGTCCTTCCATGAGTCAATTCGAGTTAGAACATTTAAAGTTGGTATGTGAGATTATTTAATCTCTTTAGTTAGTAAATGCATCTAAATGAATTATCATTCGAACTTTTGATTCAAAATTTCTTTTGCGAGGGTAACGATGCATTTGTACATTTTTTCCAACTTCTTATTTCCTCCATCTAATATTGAGAAAATTGTTCAATCAAATTGACAACTAGCAAATAGCGTTATAAAATATCATCCATTCGAGATAAATATCCAAACGCATTTATTCTCAGCATTCTTTACTTTCCATCTCAATGCATTGTGGTGAATTAATTTTACGTAAAATGCACTAACAAAATAATTAGATGAAAAAAGTAGGCTCTAACCATAAGCAAATTATAATAGAAATAACTATGATATTGGTACGATGCATGGTAAAATTCCCTAAAGAACAGGTAAGGAAACGAGGAAAAAATCTGATGCTGGTGCTGAATTTCAAATCTTTGTCATAACAAGACAGACAATTTAATTGCAATTTTTATTTTATTGATATCTTGACCAAGAACTACTTACTTGAGTTAACAAGGAAGTGATACAGCTTAATTATGAGACAATTGGAGGAGTTTTTAAAAATGTGTCTAATCATGCAAATCCAATATTTCTCTAAACAACAAAACACATAAAAATAAGATTATTATTTTAATTATGTTGATCCATTCAAACCTCTCCGGCAAGCCATCATAGGATTAAGTTTATTTATTTATGTTTCAAAACAAAGATATGATGAATGCCTTGCTCTTAGAGGATAAGATGTTAGGTGAATGAAGCATAATATTAAGATGGATGTATCGAAATATTGAAACGAATAAGATAAAGAAATAAAATATGTTAAGGAAGATGACATCTTAAGAGACTCATGTTCATAATCTCGGTAGAATATCTATGTTAGAAGACGATGGCTAATCAAAACTAACATGACCTGTTAAGTTGTTAATAATCTAGTTGCTTTGAATTTTCAAGTAGATCCAGCGATGAACCGAACATTCCAAAATGACAAGAAATAATTCATGTAGTCGATTTCAAAATTAATGATAACATAATTTAATTTGTCTATGTTCGTCGTGTCATGGAAAGCTCTGGTTTTTATTTTTATTTTATTTTTGTGCGATTTATGCTTCTCTTGCATACATGTTCCCATATGTACACTCACCTTTCAGTGAACCTCTCACATCTAGGGGTGGGCGCAGGTCGGTTCGGTTCGATTCGATTTTTTTCGATTCCAGAAATTTTCGGGTATTTAATAAATGGAACCATCGGTTCCAAATATAATTTTGGAACCGTTCGGGTTCGGTTCCGTTCCGTTCGGTTCCGTACTATAATTAAATTTTTTAACATTTAAAATAATACTACATAAATACACCTGAAAGTAGATACTAATATTAATAACAAAAAGTAGATATAAATACCAAGTTCAATCTTAACTTTTACAAATTAACGTAATCTAATTTAATAACATATAAATAATAAGTTGTCAAATACAAATACAAAAAAGTAAATATTACTAATAAAATTTCGATAATTCATATCAATAATTCATTTGTTTCAAACATTCAAGTCTACATAAAAATGAAATATAAATTAAAAGTAATAAAGATAAAATATTTTAAAGTATTGATAATACTTACCAACTATTTAATGTAATAATCAGTTGCTTGACTTTCCATACTAAGTACTAAGAGACTATACAAGAAAAAATTGAAAAAAACACATCTAACAAACATAAATAAACTCTAAATTGTTCAACTAATAAGATTTAATAAGAAAAAAATTATTATTTTATTTAGAAAAAATAAAAGAAATCGATTTATCCAATATAAAAAAAATTCGGTTTTTATTCGATTCTTCGGTTCTGGATATAACCGAGAACCGAACCAAACCATTCGATTTTCGATTCGGATACCCATTCGGGTATTTCATTTTAAAAAACCCGCTCGATTCTCGACTCCGGTTCGGTTAACTTCGGACATTTTGCCCAGCCCGATTCACATTTACCGGTAAAAACTAGTCATAGCTTTGAGATGTTTTTCCCAGTGAATTACTTTGTTTATTTATTTTCTTAATCTTAGTTTGACTAATGGAAAAGCCGCCGTGATAGTCTAGTTGGCGAATAACTTGACGACCACATCACCTTTTCCATTAGTCGAGCCAAAGAATGTGGCCCACCTGACCAGAATGGTTTGACAATGCACAGAAAACAATTTTAGCTTGAACTAAAATCTCCATAGGAAATGCTTGGTGTACATGTGGGGTTTCACAGAACCCCCCACGACCCACCTCATGTGAGATGTCTGGGGGGGCTTCTGTGAAACCCCATCAGTACACCCAACATTTCCCAATCTCCATAGATACACGGAACTGTGTCATAATTTAGTTTACAGAAGAAATGCTGCGACCCAAATTAGAACTCGACGCACTGAAAGAATCAACTCACCACGTACAAAGAATTTTATGTTTTTCCCCTCAGTTACAAGACCAAATCTAAACTGGAATAATAATAGTGAACAACCAAATGATTAGCAACAAAACCCACGGTCAAATGAAGTTTCTGATGTACTTTTGGCATGTTATCGTCCTATAGAGGAAAGATCTTCGTAAACCATCTTCATGTCAGGCCTTTCTGCTGCTGGAAGGATACATTTTAGAGCAATCTGAAGCAGTGTGTCAAGAATTTTCAGCGGGTGCTCCGTGTTTCTTGTTTCTACGATCTGTTGATCAAAACACTTAACTGACCGGTTCTCTGCAGCCAAAAGCCTCGCCCATTCTGTTAGGTCCATCACTTCTGGCTCACAAGGAACAATTTCCGCAGAATTCTTTCCCGTCAAGAGCTCAAGCAGAATAACCCCAAAAGCATATACATCACTCTTTAATGACGGGCATGGTTTACTTGTACTAGTGAATTCAGGTGGCATGTAGCCAAGAGCACCTGCGTTTAACACCTGTTCAGCTGTCCCAGTTGATGTCAATAACCGATGGAGACTATAATCAGTCAGAAGTGCGTTTACATTAGAAATTTCAATTAAAATGTTAGTGGATTTCAGGTTGCCATGAGGTATGGCACTTTCGTTATGTAGGTAACTAAGACATCGAGCGACATCAAGAGCGATTTTGAGCCTTTCATTGAGAGACAATGGAGGGAGTGTTCTGGGATCTGTCTCTGCAGATTACATTGAAGAGGACACTAGGTTAACCATTTACTGAAAAAATATAACAAATTAATAATCTGGCTAGAACAATTTCTAAATTTATATATAACTGAAAAATAGATTGCATATTTTCGGGTAGCATTGAGTAAATGGAAACCTGTAAGTTGGAAGTATACCGTGAAGATAGAGTGCCAGACATGGAGCATTAATATAATTAGATATGATTAGCTTCTCATGCTCTTCGGGACCCCAATAGAAACCCTGAAGGGAAACCAAATTTGGATGTCTAATATTTCCTAGTTTCTTTGCTTCTCTCGCAAATTCATTTCTACCTTTTGCTATCCCTTGTTTTAGCCATCTTACAGCCAACTCATGACCTGAACCAAGCACAGCCTTGTACAATGTTCCATGGCAACTCATACCAATAACTTCTGCAGGTGCAGATGATAACTCTTCTGCAGTGAATCTCAAGGAGTCATCAAAAAGATGTAGATCTCCAGCCAGTTTATCTGGAGAACAAACCTTGAGCGTACTGGGATTTTCAGATAGATGCTGAATCTTTGAAGGAGATGAGTCAGCAGCTGACATCGCAGATTTACTAGTTGATTCAGGAAGGTTTTGATCTTTGGATCCACGTATAGCTGATGAGATGGCTTGAGGATGAGAACCAGATTCGATTTGTGATGAAGATAAATCTGTAGGATAACAAAATATAAGTTCTTGCAGGATCATAGTATTATCAAAATAATGATGTATCATGACTAGGAGAAATCTTGTCTACTAACCTTTCTTTACACTGGTGTCTTTTGAGGTTGTCCTCTCTCCACGTGCTCGATGGGTTCTGCAGTAGATCATCAACGTCAATAAAGCTATAACAGAAGCACCAGCAACCAGGCAAGCAATAAGGGCAGCCCTGATAGCAGATTTCGTTCGAGAACGATGCCTCCCAAAACTTAGATTGGGTCCAATTTTTGGTGACGATGCTTCATTCTGGAGCATGAGCAAGGAATTTCCAGGATGAAATGCTGAACCGGGAAACCTCTCCAAGTTTTTTGGCACAACTCCAGAGAGATTATTGTAAGATACATTAAATCCTCTCAGTGTGCCCGGGAGATCATCAGGGATGTCACCTTCAAGATGGTTGTTAGATAAGTCAAGATGTACCATATTCTGAAACTTACCAAGCTCGGGGGACAAATTTCCTGTAAGTGCATTATGTGACAGATCAAGAGATTCCAGGCTGTAATTTTGGTTGATAAGAGCCTGAATTGGAATTGTGCCAGTGAAGTTGTTGAAAGAAAGGTTAATAGTGGTCAATTTTGTTGAGTTAAAAAGGCTAGGAAGGAGGAAACCATTAAGTTGATTAAGGCTAAAATCAATGTCTTTTAATTCTGGATATGTTCCTAGAATAGGCGGGATAACACCTTCCAGCGAGTTGTTGGAAATCTTTAATGAAGTAAGCCTCAAGAATTGAGTCGTTTGGTTCGGCAATGCCCCTGTCAATGCATTAGAGCTTAATGCAATAACCTCAACATAATTTCCCCAACTCCGAATTTTGGAGAAGTTTCCCGTGAACATATTATTACTCAGATCTATGACAGAACAATGCCCTACTCTGGCAGGCAATGGACCTGATAGCCTGTTACAAGACAAATTTAGATTCTTCAGATTCCCAGAAGTAATACTTCCTACAGGACCTGTCAGAAGAGAAACAACAAGCAACTTAATTGAGTATTGGAATTGCAGAGGTAATATAAGACAAGAATCAAACCAAAAACTTGAATAGACAATATCACGAACCATTTATGCGAAGCACTCCATCCAAAGCAATCAAACAAACTGGAGGAAATATTAGTAGAGATTTTATTTAATTTAGTTTCCAAATTTGATGCTTATTTTATGAAACATTATTAGGGTTTGATTAATTAAATTTATTAGATGTTTCTATCTTAGAATAGGATCTTATATAAAGGGGCTCATGGGTTGTAATACATAGAACTTGATATGAATAAAAATTGATACTTTCTTTCCCAATTTCTCTCCAGTCTGTCTAGTCTTTCTCCCCCTTTTATCTCCCTCCTTCTATCTCCCCCTCTTCTTCTCTTTTCCCCCTTCTTTCTCTTCTTCTCTTCCCTTTCCCCTTCTCCTATAGTTTTACTTTTTGTAATATTGCATCCCAGGTCTATTTGACGCAAGTTGAGGAAAAAAAAAAAAAATTCTTGTTCAAATTCAAAACTTATACATCCACATCCATGGCCACAAACATTGTCATGGGCACAAGGTCATTGGTGTAATGTAAAAATGAAGCCATTCCCTACCCTCTCTTCTTTTTTTCTGTTTTCTATCCTTCGTTTTTTATTTTTTATTTTATTTTTTGCGCCAAGCAACCTAACAAGGATGCTTATTTTCCAAAAATAATTATTATTTCAAAACACATTCGCAGATTCATGTACATGGTTTTACATGGAGATCACTCTTCAACAGTATTGATTTTGGATTCATTAGTTGCTTTCTACCTTTCTATCAGCCAAAAGAATATAAATAGACTTGTTCCTTCACATATCTTTGGCAAGATTTTATAATACAACCGATGTTTTACACATATCTTCTGAAGTCTGTGAATTCGATCCAATACCACAGCGCTAGATTTGATATTGGCATTATGATAAGGAAATTCACGCATGTTTTCAGCCATATTAGCCAATGCAACAAATTTTCGTTTTTCATATGGTAATATTTTTGTCCCTTTAAAACAATTTTTTATATGGCAACCTATTATGAGTGAAACATTTAGCAGTTGATAATCTAAAAATGGGTTGATCGAAGACACCATTAAACTCTGATAAAACAAGCCCTTGGACAATCAGTACTAAATTGAAACGGTTATAGGAATGCCTAAAAACCAACATACCTTCAATCTGATTAAGGCTGAGATCTAATTCAGACAAGACCATTGAGCTGTCCTGCAAAAGACCTTGTGGCAGTGATCCAGACAACTGATTGTTGCTAAGCTTGATAACTCGGAGGGAGACAATAAAAGTAAACGAAGGAACATTTCCAACAAAATGATTATTACTTGCATCAAACACCTCTAGACTGTCGAAATATGGCATTCCATCATGAGGGAAGAGCTCTCCAGTCAAGTTATTATGACTGATATTTAAATACTGAATCGAAGAAACAAAATCTGAAGTCCCAATTCCAAGGTCCAAGGATCCCCAAAAATTATTGCTGCTTAGGTCAACATACATCACACCACCCAATTGAGCCAAAAGGTCCATGACATTTCCTGAAAAATCATTAGAGTGCAAATCCAGATGCTTTAACAGCTCAAATCCAGTAAAACCAGAGGGAATTTCTCCAGCCAAGTTGTTTGATGAAAGATTTAAGAGCACCAAGTTCTTTAAACTGGTTAATTGAGAGGGGATTGATCCAGTAAACAAATTTCGAGAAAGATCAAAACTTGCCAATGATTCAATTAAACCGACCTCTTTTGAGATAATGCCGCTGAATTGATTGTTAGAAATGGATAAGTTGCGAAGCATTTGGAGTCCGGAAATAGCAGTGAAACTAAATTCTCCAACCAGACCTAAATCATTCAGTGTGATTGAAATCACCTGGCCGTCAATGCAACTTATACCAAACCAATCCTTGGGGCAACCGTCAGATGCCAATGACTTGGGATCCCATGAATCAAGAACTTTCCCTAAAGGGTCCTTCTGAATTCCCTTTTTTATCTCCACCAATGCATCCGTGTCTAATTTCCCTACTGCTATTTTTACCAACAACAGTAATACAAAACAAATGGACTGCATCCTTCCCAATATCCCAAAACCAATGAACATATGTTGGAATTGTGGGCAGAAATAGAAGAGAGCTGCTAAAGAGTTTCAAGAAATAACTCCATATAACTTCAAGAAATTGAAAAGCTATGTAGACAACTAAATTCACAAATATTACAACCAATTCCAAAATATGAAACTGCAATAACAAAATTCAAATTACAAAACATTTTTTTCCACAGAAACAAAATCTCGAAAAGGTATTCCTCCCCAGTGAAGCAACCATTCGAAGTACACAGTAGCTGAACTCTAACAGAATTGCAATAATTCCAACAAATCATTCCACAATGAATACACGCCCAACTCAACTTTTTAACTAACCCCAAAAGCAACAATAAAAAGGAATCCAACTTTCTAGACAGTAAAACCCTACATTTTCGATATGCAGTGAAAAAGGTGCTCAGTCAAACAGTAAAAAGCACAATCACAGTAAAAAGCTCTTTTACATGTCAAGAAGAGAGAGAAAAAGGCAAAGCAGTAAAAAAGAAACTCCCAAACGCTTTAATAAGAGGTTGACACTACAATGTAGTATTTAATGTAATTTTGGGTGTCAAGAAATTGACAGTGACGTGGGTAAACAATGGTTGGGCTCAAAAGGGACATCTCGAAGAGCATCGCAGATGAGGACTGGCAAGTGGTAGGTGTGGTTAGTTGGACAAAGAGTGGGAGAGTTACACTGTGCACTCACTGTAGTGTGTCTTTGAGGCGTGGGTGATGTTTTACTTGTCTGTTTTGTGTGTTTCAAGATTTATGATTGGGGGTGTCCAAAAGTTTCGAATCGAACAGAATTGAACCTGAATCAAATCGATGGGTTCTTCATAAGTTAAATACTCCAACGGATACCCGAATTGAGAATCGATGGATTTGGGTCGAATCTCGGTTCTAGACCGAGAACCGAATAAGACCAGAAACTAAATAATTTTTTAAATTTTTTATATTGAATTAATTAAATTAAATTATTTTTTCTAAATAAATTAGCAAATTAATTAAATAAATCAGATCATTTCATAATTTTAATTTTAAAGCCCAATACCCAAATCATTTTAAAACTCAAATCATTTTAAAGTCCATTTTAAAGACAAGAAACAGTAGAGTTTGAGATCCATTTGCAGTTTTTTGATATGGATCACCGATATTTTAATATTAACATCTACTTTTTGGTATTTGTATGCATTGAATTAATTTTATTGGATAACTAGTTATTTATATATTTTTGAATTGGGCTACGTTAATTTATAAAAGTTAAAGAATGAAATGTCATTAGTTGTATTTATGTAATGTTGCTGTAAAAGTTAAAAAATTTAATTATGGTATGAAACTGAACAGAACCGAACCGAATCGAACCCGAACGGTTCCATAATTATAGTTGGACCCCTACGAGTCCATTTATGAAATACCCAAAAGTTTTGAGTTGGTTCGGTTCTCTTCAGAATCGAAGCGAACCGAACCGACCTACGAACAACCCTATTTATGACGGCGAATTGGGCTTATGGATGAGATTTGAAGGGCTTGTCCCATTAGATCAGATTTATGACATAAATCTCAAGAATTATGCACAGTAAGACAATAATTGAGAATTATAAAATGTATACAAGGAATAAGACAAATAAAAGTTCGTGCAAATTAAGGATTCCTAATTATTTGAAATTCGCAAAAGTTTTATCCTATTGATTTATTATTTTGAATAAAAAAAAATTGAAGTTATTATCANGATTTATTATTTTGAATAAAAAAAATTGAAGTTATTATCAATGAAGGGACAAATATCTTGTGTGAAATCATGATAGCAATAACAATGGATCAAATCGAGCCTGCTCCACCCTTGAACATCTGAGCGGCCCTTTGGACTGTGAGGCTCATGGGGCGACCTAAACAATTCTCAAATTAACTCACTTTTTAAATAAATTAATAAAATAAGTCCAAAAGGTGAGCTCCTGAAAAAAAGGGTGTCCGATTTTGTTCATGGTTCATCTTAAAATGAGTTCGGGTTGAGTCCATGAGTAGCTCGATCATGTTGCCACACCTATACTGATCGCGTTGAATTTTATAGTAGATAAATTTTATCATGAATTTATGTAATCGAGTTTAATGGTAAAATTAATTTTACACTATAACACATTGGTTGGTAAAAAATAAAATTCAGATTTTAATCTGAATCAAAATTAACAACTAATTTTAATCGTCGTATTTTATAGGATCCACAACTTTTCAACTACACATTTCATCATTTTTTATCTAAATCTACTAAAAATTTGATTTTTCACTTTAACCAAAATAGGGGCTTAGTATGATATCAAAGAATTGGAAGATCTTGAATTT